AAGATGCAACATTTGCAGATATTTTTACTGGTCTTCCTTTATAAATATGCATTTCTTTAAACATAATTTAAAAGCAGTGTAAGGGAAGTAACCAAAACGTTGTATTTGGATTACCTCCCTTACACTGTTTTAAATTATCTTTATTGTTCATTAACCATTACTTTATACATAATTTAAAAGCAGTGTAAGGGAGATAATTTCAATGATGTATTTGATTTATCTCCCTTACACTGCTTTAAATTATGTTTTGTACTAAAGTATTTGTCCATTAACCAGGACAACCTTGTTTTTCCCCCTTTTTTGCCCCTAATTCCTAAACGGTTTGAGCCATAACCCCCCAAAGCAAATCCTAACCATCCCTTTGTGGTATGGAAACTTGTAGTATAATTTCAGAGAGATCCATACACCGTTCCACAGTTATTGTCTGGAAACTAGAAAATGCTTATTTTTGGCCCCTTATTGGCCCCTAATTCCTTAACTGTTGGTACCATAAACCCCAAAATCAATCCCAACCTTCCTTTTGTGGTATTTAACCTTATGGTCAAATTTCAAAAAGATCCCTTCACTTAAACTAAAGTTAGAGTGCGAAAACCAATGTGTCTTCGGACGACGACGCCGGACGACGACGACGACGCCGGACGACGACGACGACGACGCCAACGTCATACCAATATACGACCACAAAATTTTTTTGCGGTCGTATAAAAACCGTTACTAAATTCTTTCCATCGATTCAAGATTTGTTTTTGGAAGTTTTGTTGTACCTGAACTTTGTCAATTATACCACATCTTCTTATTTTTAGTCCCCTACTGACGAAGTCGAAGGGAACTTTAGGTTTGAACTCCGTCTGTCTGTCTGTCTGTCCGGCAAATCAGTTTCCCCCACTTTTTTTCTTCATGCTTGAAGATATTGATTTGATATTTGGTGTATTCTTTTATCATGACCAGTTACAGATCAAGTTCAAATTTTGTTCCGGTCTGATGATTTTGTGCAGAGTTATGGTCCTTTGAAAATTCACTAAAATAATCAGTTTTCTGCACTTTTTTTTGTCATTCTTGAAGATATTGATTTGAAAATTGGTATATAGTTTTATCATGACAAGCTTCAGATCAAGTTCGAACTTTGTTCCGGTCTGATGATCATATGCAGAGTTATGGTCCTTGGACTTAGAAAATTCACTTTAAATAATCAGTTATCAACACTTTTTTTCGTCATGCTTGAAGATATTGACTTGATATTTGTTATATAGTTTACACAATGACAAGTTATAGATCAAGTTAAAATTTTGTACTAATACCATGAATTTTTTTAACCGGTAGGGGACTATGTATTGCTATGCAATACTCACAGAATGCTTGTTATATTAAGGCAAGATAAACCCTGCTTTAGAGACATGTACACCTTACAATGTTCCATACACCATATATAGTTGACATTCTGCTTATAGTATCCGAAAAAAAGAACCTAATCACAAAAACTTAAAGCTGATCAATTATCCATATATATAACCTGGTATGTCCCAGATTTTTCATGCAGTAGCTAAATCAAAGCACGAAAGCGCTGTAAAGGCAGTTAATTACAGGTTGTGTGTATTTTAAGTCCAGTTATATCATTATCTTGCATAGTACAGTGTACTTATCAGAGGTGGCTTTCAGTATTTAAGATTTAGAGTTCTCTAATGATATTGAATAAGTTTTATGAATGTCATATTCTGAGCACTATATGAAGGCGATTGTTCTCACTTGTTTATGAACTAGTGCATTATGTCCAGTTTGTACCTTTTTTATCTATGTTTATAGTCAAATTAGTTATCAAAGGTACCAGGATTATAATTTAATACGCCAGACGTGTGTTTCGTCTACATAAGACTCATCAGTGACGTTCAGATCAAAATAGTAACAAAGCCAAACAAGTACAAAGTTGAAGAGCATTGAGGACCCAAAATTCCAAAAAGTTGTGCCAAATACGGCTAAGGAAATCTATTCCTTGGATAAGAAAATCCTTAGTTTTTTCATTGGCAATCATAACACATCTCCTTATTTATATAATGATCTATATTCAACGACCTCAGGTACATAAAAAATGTATGTAACTAAACTATGATGGGAAACCTTTGACTTCTTTCTTTATATAAACTTTTGATTTGGTACCATAGAACTATGTAGAGTAAATGTACATTGCAACATGTCAACTCTTTCAACTCCAAGCAAAATTATATTTCCAAGCATAAAGTAATTTATGAATGAAATAAAATGCTCCGCTGGGGCGCAGCTTGATACGACCGCAGAGGTCGAACCCTGAACAGTTGGGGCAAGTATGAACACAACATTCAAGCTTGATTCAGCACTGAATTTGGATTGTAATTAAATATTTGACACAGCATAGGTTTCTGACACAGAATGAAAGTGGTCTAAGATACTTAAAAAAATTTAATTTACCTATTCAAACCATATCATTATTATTTGCTTTTATATATAAATCAGAAATAACCAATTTAAAATGGAAAATTTTACAGAAAAAAAAGGAAAAAGAATCCCCCCCCCCAAATTTTTTGAACCCCCTTATGATTCATCACCCCAAAACTCAATCCCAGCCTTCCCTTTGTGGTATGGTACCTTGCAGTACAATTTCAGAGAGATCCATACACTTGAACACATGTTATTGTCTGGAAACTAGAAAAATGCTTGTTTTTTGGCCCCTTTTTGGTCCCAAATTCCTAAACGTTTAGGGCAATTACCCCCAAACTCAAACCCAGCTTTCCCTTTGTGATATGGAACCTTGTAGTACAATTTCATAAAGATCCATACACTTACACACAAGTTATTGCCATGAAACTAGAAAAATGCTTGTTTTTTGCCCCTTTTTTGCCCCTAATTCCTAAAATTTGGAGGCAATTACCCCCAAAATCAATCCCAGCATTCCCTTTGTGATATGGAACCATGTGATACAATGTCAGAGAGATCCATAGACTTACACACAAGTTATTGTCATGAAACTAGAAAAATGCTTGTTTTTTGCCCCTTTTTGGCCCCTAATTCCTAAAATTTGGAGGCAATTACCCCCAAAATCAATCCCAGCATTCCCTTTGTGGTATGGTACCTTCCAGTACAATTTCAGAGAGATCCATACACTTGAACACAAGTTATTGTCTGGAAACTAGAAAAATGCTTATTTTTGGCCCCTTATTCCTAAACTTTTTGGGCAATTACCTCCAAACTCTATTCCAGCTTTCCCTTTGTGATATGGAACCTTGTAGTACAATTTCATAAAGATCCATACTTTACACACAAGTTATTGCCATGAAACTAGAAAAATGCTTGTTTTTTGCCCCTTTTTGGCCCCTAATTCCTAAAATTTGGAGGCAATTACCCCCAAAATCAATCCCAGCATTCCCTTTGTGGTATGGTACCTTCCAGTACAATTTCAGAGAGATCCATACACTTGAACACAAGTTATTGTCTGGAAACTAGAAAAATGCTTATTTTTGGCCCCTTATTCCTAAACTTTTTGGGCAATTACCCCCAAACTCTATTCCAGCTTTCCCTTTGTGATATGGAACCTTGTAGTACAATTTCATAAAGATCCATACACTTACACACAAGTTATTGCCATGAAACTAGAAAAATGCTTGTTTTTTGCCCCTTTTTGGCCCCTAATTCCTAAAATTTGGAGGCAATTACCCCCAAATTCAATCCCAGCATTCCCTTTGTGATATGGAACCTTGTGATACAATGTCAGAGAGATCCATAGACTTGCACACAAGTTATTGTCATGAAACTAGAAAAATGCTTGTTTTTTGCCCCTTTTTGGCCCCTAATTCCTAAAATTTGGAGGCAATTACCCCCAAAAATCAATCCCAGCATTCCCTTTGTGATATGGAACCTTGTGAGATCCATACTCTTACACACAAGTTATGTCTGGAAGTTACAAAAATGCTTATTTTTGGCCCCTAATTCCTTAACTGTTGGTACCATAACCCCCAAAATCAATCCCCACTTTCCTTTTGTGGTATTGAACCTTATTTTAAAATTTCATTGAGATCCATTCACTTAAACTAAAGTTAGAGTGCGAAAACTAATGTGTCTTCGGATGACGACGCCAACGTCATACCAATATACGACCACAAAATTTTTTTGCGGTCGTATAAAAAGGAGTTCTTAATTAAGAAATAAACTGATTCGCTGAGCGCAGCTGGATACACCCGCAGAGGTACTACCCTGAACAGCTGGGGCAAAAATGGACACAATATTCAAGCTTGATACAGGTCTGAATTTGGATTGTAATTAAATATTTGACATATTATAGTTTCTGAATAAATGTAGTCAATGAACTTGAAATCGGTTATATGAATTGAATTTATATTCAATTAAAGATTTCTTGCTGTTGTGCAATACACTGTGCTGTTGTGCAATACTTAATAAATCTGTTGCCAGACTATAAACAAATAAAGTTCAATTTCTTCTCAATGTCATATTTGAAATTTATGAAGGTCAATAGGGAGATTACATCAATAGCTATAAATAATTCACCAAAGTTTCATGTGAACTGCTTAAAGCATTTTTGAGTTGTTGTCCAAAAACTGGAAAATCCCCCCTTTTTTAATGAATAAAACCCCATAACTCAGAAATGTAAAATCTAAAATTTATAAAATTCTAAAGGGAGCTTACGGATTGATAATTTAGTCTTAGATGCAAGATTTTTTTATCAGTTGTTAGTGGCTTTGAACTAGCTGTCAGTAACTGCGAGTACTCTCAGATTTTGTTGTTTGGATGTACAACTACCCGACCACGTCCACTTGTATTTGTATTTATCCATCTGATGAGTTTAGCCTCTTTCAACTGATTTTTATAGTTCTTTCTTATATTGTACTGTTACACCACTGTCCCAGGTTAGGGGAGGGTTGGGATCCCGCTACCATGTTTAAGCCCGCCACATTCTGTATGTACATGTATGTGCCTGTCCCAAGTCAGGAGCCTATAAAAGTGTAATAGTGGTTGTCGTTTGTTTATGTGTTGCATATTTGTTATATTTGTTCATTTTTTTACATAAAATAGGCCGTTAGTTTTCTTGTTTGAATTGTTTTACATTGTCATTTCTGGGCCTTTTATAGCTGACTGTGCGGTATGGGCTTTGCTCATTGTTGAAGGCCGTACTGTGACCTATAGCTGTTAATTTCTGTGTCATTTGGTCTCTAGTGCATGTGTGGAGAGTTGTCTCATTGGCAATCATACCACATCTTCTTTTTTATATTTACATCAACAGATATAAAAAATTCACCAAAGTCAAGGTGAGACAACAAAACTTAGTTGTAAGATCTCTGAAATTTTTTACAGGGTACGAGTTTTTCTCATTGTTGGAGATTGTACGGTGACAGGAACACCTGTAACTGCTTAAACCCATTTCTTATGCACTTTAGTTTGATAAAATCACTGAATATCATACCACATCTCCTTATTTTTATATGCATTACAATTTACATGTGCATGTAATTGTAAATATATATATATCAGAACAAAATTCATTGCGTCACTTTTATTTATGCATCCTTTGGCACAATACAAGTTCTAAAATTACACAACATACAACAACTAAATGTTATTTCAGATGAAAGTTTTGTTTCAGTTTCATTCATAGTATTTATTAGAATTTTGTATGTTTTGCCAAGTCCAATAATTCGCTCTATGTGACATAGAGACATAGTTGACTAAACCACCAGGTGTCGAACATTCAAGAATTTTCAGTGTTTCTGTTTTTATTTGATGAAAAGGTTGCCTGAGCTCTAGGAGCTTTAGGTTTTATCACGGGATATTCTGTGCTGTCAATAATAATCCAAGTCGTAGGAAACTTTAATTTGAAGTTGGATGGTGAAAAATACCTGACTAAACCACTAGATGGCCAAGTGTTAGCCTCACACCACTGTTTAGACATAAAAATAATCCATGTATACACAATATTCTTAACACTAGAGTCAATCTAGAATCTAGACAGTTCAAAGTTGGTTGTATGATGCCTCAATTTCATCAAAGTCATAAAAAAACTGATTTTCAACTGACACCCTATCAATTTGAAAATATATGTATCTCAAACAATGTGCTGCTGGACCAAGTGTGGTCAAAACAAATAAAAATTTAGTATACAACTCTAAACCGGTATAAAAATGCATGGCTGTGTCACGTGTCTTCATTTCAAAATTCTCTGCTGAAAACATAGGCATTGATGGTGTTTGCGTAATTCCATCTGTGAAGCTCAACATTAGCTCGGCAGTTGGTGGTGGACTGTCATAAATCCTTTCTGCAGTATGAATGACTTCTTCAGGAAAACCAACTTTACAATCAAAACTTTCCTCTAGATTTCTACTACAATATTCATCAAGTTTAGTTCTTTTGTTTTCACAGGAAACTGCCCTGATTTTTCTTTTTGTGGACGATTCAGTCTCTTGCTTGGTCCAGGAAAATAGGCTGGGAATTGCAGTAGACTTAAGTCTCTGTATGGTGGGTTTGCGCCCTGAAAAAGATTATAAAACATTAGATCTTTTATAATTAAATGAACTTCCATTAGCAATGTATACTTTGTACTACCTGGCGAAATATTAACTAGATTTATTCATTACAATCTGGATAAAACTATGTTTGCCTGATTCAATGTATGTTATGTAAATCCAAAGGACAAACAATGAGAGACTTATGCAACAAACGTACATTGTTTGTACCTAAATAACTATAATATAGATGAGAGCATGTCATTGTTTTGTTCCTGTTAACATTGTCATTGATATTTTTCAAGAAAGTCTATGAGGCATAGCTTATGCATTCCTGTCATTACTACATTAGCATAATTACTGCTAAAATAATTCTCAGTATGATATACCTCTTGTAAGAAATCATTATAATTGTAGCAATCACCAAAAAATCTCAAACAGATCACATTGAATCGTAATCCAAAAAATTATGACGTCTTGAATTACCCACCCCCTTTTATTCTAAAACGATAATTGCGGTTGTAAACAGACTTTGGTTTATTCGCATGGAGATTACATATATAACTATATATTTCACAAAGAAAATAGAGTTTTACCATGAATAGTTTCCTGCACGTAGTCTTTTTCAGTAAAACGTGCCTTGCAAACAACAGCTGATTGAGATGGACTCCACGATATCATCGTGTTCTCGTCCAATCTGCGTATGGGCCATGGCGTTGATCCAACTTTTCCTTCTTTTTAAGTCATTTGGAAATGCATGTCCTCCTCTTAAATGACATCCAGGTACACAACAGCAAGTACTTGGCATCGTTAATTAAAAATATAACTGAAATAGTTGCACAGTGCAGAAACCGGAAGAAGAGGAACAGGATCCGCTACCACGGCGCCACCTATTCAGGAACGATAATTTGCTACTTTATATAACTGCGAAAATAACGTTAGACGGGTTCACGTGCATAAACAGAAATGCGCTTTAAATTGTAATATATAATTCATGTTCAGTCGACCTTTAATTATTATATCAACGACTGACATGATTTATAAACATCTAGATTGCAGATAACACTCGAAATTAACCCGAGCTCTTTCCACACGGAATTCAAATAATTCTAGTTTGTCAATCGGTTGACTGCTTATAATGCAAAATACTAATATATCAAAAGTTTTTAAAACTAACAAAACACAATGATCGTTTCTCTATTTCCCAATGTAAATGAAATGAAACAAAAAACATTTTATATCGCAATAAGAAGAGGAGAGAATTCAACATTTCCGGATCTACTTGGAGTCTAATGACCCCCCCACGTAGATAAGTTGGATATCGCGGAAGGAAGGATTAACCCGGCAACTAGAAAGGCATTAAAGCACTGCCTTTAAAAATGGACACTTTGTAATATGAGGCATCTGCATACAGGATATGAAGTATCAAAGTCTTCTATCTTTTGAAATATAAATCTTTAAGTAATGACCTAATGCTGCCCTCAGATAAGCATCTCTTTGTCTCTCATTCTAAGGAATTGTTTTTCATTTTAAAGTACATGTATTTCTAAAGTAAGTCAAGAAATGACTAAGTTCAGAAATCTAGAGACATTCCTCATACAATTACATAACTGTAGGTGAGATGAACAAATGCAGTATATGTGCAATCATTCTATCAAGTTTCAAGGATGTGTGTGGGTTGATAACTGTAGTAGCAGTTGATTACATAAATTGGTCAGGTCTTTTTCTACTTTGATAAAAAAATTATCCAAATTCCTCAACATCTATAATAGCAGGTGCACAACATGTGTACAATTTTTTTGAGAAGTTTCAGATTGAAAACTGTAGTAGTAGGAGCTGGTTACACAAAACTGGTACAGGGTTTTGTAAATTTCTGGAAAAATATAGCAGGTGCACAACTTAAATGTATCCATTTCACCTCCCTAAAGTAACATAAGTTATGTAAGCACCTAGAAACCAAAATTGTTACCAATACCAAGGGACACATGGCAAATATGCTGTTGTTTTGCCTTTTTTGTTGTTTTTAGAGTTGTTTCATGTCCTTGCCAGTTTGTCATAGACTTATGTGTTTGAATATCCCTTCCCTTTGATATCTTAAGCCTCTCTTTTTCAAGGAAACCATCTTTTTCCAAAAGTATTTATTTTTATTAAGAGTAACATAGAACTTTTAACTATTGACTATAAATAATAAAATGCTCCGCTGGGCGCAGCTTGATACGACCGCAGAGGTCGAACCCTGAACAGTTGGGGCAAGTATGGACACAACATTCAAGCTTGATATAGCACTGAATTTGGATTGTGATTAAATATTTGATACAGCATAGGTTTCTGACACAGAATGAATGTGGTCTAAGAACTTAAAAATTGTTAATTTACCTATTCAAACCATAGGAATCTGATGTTCAGTAGTTGTCATTTGTTGATGTGGTTCATAAGTGTTTCTCGTTTCTCGTTTTTTATATAGATTAGACCGTTGGTTTTCCCGTTTGAATGGTTTTACACTAGTAATTTTGGGGGCCCTTTATAGCTTACTGTTCGGTGTGAGCCAAGGCTCCAAGTTGAAGACCGTACTGTGACCTATAATGGTTTACTTTTATAAATTTTGACTTGGATGGAGAGTTGTCTCATTGGCACTCATACCACATCTTCTTATATCTATATATCATTATTATTTGCTTTTATATATGAATCAGAAATAACCAATTTAAAATGGAAAATTTTAAAGAAAAAAAAGGAAAAAAAAATCCCCCTTCAAATTTTTTGAACCCCCTTATGATTCATCACCCCCAAACTCAATCCCAGCCTTGCCTTTGTGGTATGGTACCTTGCAGTACAATTTCAGAGAGTTCCATACACTTGAACACAAGTTATTGTCTGGAAACTATAAAAATGATTGTTTTTTTGGCCCCTTTTTGGCCCCTAATTCCTAAACGTTTAGAGCAATTACCCCCAAACTCAAACCCAGCTTTCCCTTTGTGATATAGAACCTTGTAGTACAATTTCATAAAGATCCATACACTTACACACAATTTATTGTCCTGAAACTAGAAAAATGCTTGTTTTTTTGCCCCTTTTTGGCGCCTAATTCCTAAAATTTTGAGGCAATTACCCCCAAAATCAATCCCAGCCTTCCCTTTGTGGTATACCGTATGGTACCTTGCAGTACAATGTCAGAGAGATCCATACATTAACACACAAGTTATGTCTGGAAGTTACAAAAATGCTTATTTTTGGCCCCTAATTCCTTAACTGTTGGTACCATAACCCCCAAAATCAATCCCAACCTTCCTTTTGTGGTATTGAAGCTTATGGTAAAATTTCATAGAGATCCATTCACTTAAACTAAAGTTAGAGTGCGAAACCAATGTGTCTTTGGACGACCACGACGCACCAACGTCATACCAATATACGACCTCAAAAATTTTTTGCTGTCGTATAAAATGGTATAATCCTCTTCACTATATCTCCAATTTGTTTAAGTTCCATTCCAATCATCAAAGGAAACCTTACAACCATCTGGAAACTATTTCTATTTTTAGTAAGTGACCTGGAACTTTATCGTATTCGACTCCAAAACTCCTTCCCTATATCTTCCATCTGTTTAAGTTTCATTCAAATCAAGCAAGAAAAACTCCAGTTACTACCAAGAAACCATTTGTTTTGGACACAGACCCACAGATAAAAGGAGAGACTGATGGATAGAAGGATGGACAGACAAAGCTATGACTATATGAACCCAAAATTTTGTAATAATGAATCCACAATATATGACGTAATTCTTTATGAAAATTAGACACAATTATTCCATTTTAGATAACATACAAGACATATCTTGTTATCCTCAACTTACATTACAAACAAAGATCTGCATTATATCATTTAATAATAAAAAGTTATAACAGTAATGGCTATGACCCTTTCATTCAATGTCCAGACACAAAAAACATTGTTACCATTTGAGAATTTTTATTCAAGTAACCCTATAAAATGTATTTTTGTCTGCTCCTTTTGCATCCTCTGGTCTAATTGTTACAAACACTTCATCAGTAGGATCCATTTTATATGAGTCTGGTAAATATCTATCTTTTCTTGATTGTTTGGCATTCAGTTTATTGATATATTTCATAGCAACTTTCTGCTTCAAAGATCTTCTATACTGTAAAATGTAATAGTAATAATATAAAGTAACTTTTTGCTTCAAAGATCTTCTATACTGTAAAATGTAATAGTAATAATATAAAGTAACTTTTTGCTTCATAGATCTTCTATACTGTAAAATGTAATAGTAATAATATAAAGTAACTTTTTGCTTCAAAGATCTTCTATACTGGCCCGAGAACACAGTTATTTCGTAGTGCATTTCTTTTAGACAATAAATTCAAATTAAAATAAAATGCTCCGCAGGGCGCAGCTTGATACGACCGCAGAGGTCGAACCCTGAACAGTTGGGGGAAGTATGGACACAACATTCAAGCTTGATACAGCTTTGGATTTGGATTGTGATTAAATATTTGACACAGCATAGGTTTCTAACACAGATTGAATGTGGTCTAAGAACTCAAAAATTTTAAATTGGACATTCACCTATTATGGTCCAATATCCAAAATCTAAATACATGGTTAGATTCAGCATATCAAAGAACCCCAATAATTCAATTTTTGATGAAATCAAACAAAGTTTAATTTTGGACCCTTTTGACCTCAATGTGGACAAAGTTGATAACGGGGCCCAAAAATCAAAAATCTAAATACATGGTTAGATTCAGCATATCAAAGAACCCCATATATTCAATTTTTGTTGAAATCAAACAAAGTTTAATTTTGGACCCCGATTTGGACCAACTTGAAAACTGGGCCCATAATCAAAAATCTAAATACATGTTTAGATTCAGCATATCAAAGAACCCTAAGAATTCAATTTTTGTTAAAATCAAACAAAGTTTAATTTTGGACCCTTTGGACCTTAATGTAGACCAATTTGAAAACGGAACCAAAAATTAAGAATCTAAATACACGGTTAGATTCAGCATATCAAAGAACCCCAATAATACAATTTTTGATGAAATCAAACAAAGTTTAATTTTGGACCCTTTTGACCTCAATGTGGACAAAGTTGATAACGGGGCCCAAAAATCAAAAATCTAAATACATGGTTAGATTCAGCATATCAAAGAACCCCATATATTCAATTTTTGTTGAAATCAAACAAAGTTTAATTTTGGACCCCGATTTGGACCAACTTGAAAACTGGGCCCATAATCAAAAATCTAAATACATGTTTAGATTCAGCATATCAAAGAACCCTAAGAATTCAATTTTTGTTAAAATCAAACAAAGTTTAATTTTGGACCCTTTGGACCTTAATGTAGACCAATTTGAAAACGGAACCAAAATTTAAGAATCTAAATACACAGTTAGATTCGGCATATCAAAGAACCCCAATAATTCAATTTTTGATGAAATCAAACAAAGTTTAATTTTGGACCCTTTGGACCTCAATGTGGACCAATTTAAAAACGGGGCCCAAAATCCAAAAACTAAATACACGGTTAGATTCAGCATATTAAAGAACCCCATGAAATCAAGAATAAAACCCCATTGAAATTGGTCAAGAAATAAGCAATTTATAGGAAGTATCTTCTTTTGCACAATCCTGTGCTATTAAATATTTCTTGCTATTGCGCAATACTGTACAATTGACAATTTCTTGCTATTGCGCAATATTGTGCTATTGGATATTTCTTGCTATTGCGCAATACTGTGCAATTGAAGATTTCTTGCTATTGCGCAATACTGTGCAATTGAAGATTTCTTGCTATTGTGCAATACTGTGCAATTGAAAATTTCTTGCTATTGCACAATACTTATTATATAATAATTTACACATCCTGTTTGGTGTGTATCTCCTACCATATCATTATTATTTGATTTTAAATATAAATCAGAAATAACCAACTTAAAATGGAAAATTTTAAAAGAAACAAAAAAGGAAAAAAAGAAAAAAAAGGAAAAAAAAATAAATCCCCCCCCAAAATTTTTTGAACCCCCATTATGATTCATCACCCCCAAACTCAATCCCAGCCTTCCCTTTGTGGTATGGTACCTTGCAGTACAATTTCAGAGAGATCCATACACTTGAACACAAGTTATTGTCTGGAAACTAGAAAAAAATGTGTTTTTTGGCCCCAAATTCATAAACGTTTAGGGCAATTACCCCCAAACTCAAACCCAGCTTTCCCTTTGTGATATGGAACCTTGTAGTACAATTTCAGAAAGATCCATACACTTACACACAAGTTATTGTCATGAAACTAGAAAAATGCTTGTTTTTTGCCCCTTTTTTGGCCCCTAATTCCTAAAATTTGGAGGCAATTACCCCCAAAATCAATCCCAGCATTCCTTTAGTGGTATGGAACCTTGTGGTACAATGTCAGAGAGATCCATACACTAACACACAAGTTATGTCTGGAAGTTACAAAAATGCTTATTTTTGGCCCCTTTTTGGCCCCTAATTCCTTTACTGTTATTACCATAACCCCCAAAATCAATCCCAACCTTCCTTTTGTGGTATTGAACCTTGTGGTAAAATTTCATAAAGATCCATTCACTTAAACTAAAGTTAGAGTGCGAAAACCAATGTGTCTTCGGACGACGCCGGACAACGCCGGACGACGACGACAACGTCATACCAATATACGACCACAAAAATTTTTTTGCGGTCGTATAAAAATCGCACCTGCTCTGTCTCAAAAAGATTTTTACAGTGTAGTGTACTACTATTGATACAAATAATATCAAAATTATAGAAACTTCTACCAGCTCTAACTCAAAATATTGACAATTCTGTGTTAAGGGGGGCTAAAATTCAGTTTGACAGCTTCAGACATTCTAATTTTTGACCTTTTTTAACTGGACCAAATCACTATTTAAAGGGAAAATTTGCGATTTTTTACTTATCATCTTATTATGTTCATAATACCATAAAAAACATATTCACCAAGTTTTATCTTGATATGAAAACTAATAAAGAAGAAAATTGGGAATTATTAATTTTATTTATTCGAACTTCCTGACTTCTGTGACGTAGTTTAAGTCTTTTTGCATGCCGGGAGTGGAATTAATCTCATTTAAGTCTTGTTCGTTAATCATCTAATAACGCGATTTAAAGCGCATCGACGACTTTTGGCGTAGCTATTAACCAACTAATAATTAAGAAAGTAAAGTGATCAGCCGTGCAACTTTTAAAAATAAAATGTACGATTTATATTTTAAGGATTTCTGATATGATTATAGTCATTATAGTAATAAAAGTAAATCATACAATATAATATTTTTATGAATTTTTTTTCCGACGGATATTTTCAACAAACACATATAACTGATAGTGTATTAAAAATGCATGTTTGTATTCTCACCTTTTACTTCAGTCTAGCAAACATTTCTCGCTAGTACTGTGTAAAATAAATACAATGTGTATTGTACTGTGACACTTAGTGACTACCTGTTGAATGCGTGGTTAAATTCAAGGTATTTAAAGGTTTGCATTCTGTAATTCTAATCTTTTGATCTTCACTCAGTGAATTTTAGCCGTCACGGTTCACCGTTCCAGGTGTGAACATCATTTCGTATGAATGATAAACGGGAGTGATAGTTTGAGACAGAAAATAAAAAAAGAAATATAATTATTTTGGGGGAGTAATATGGTGGCACAATAACTGGATAGCCGTGGTATATTTTTATATTTTCCGTAAGCTCAGTTTAAAATGAATTATGACTGCTGAATATTTTTGTAACAATGAAATACTGAATTAATTTAATTGAATAAATAATAATGGCATTCTAAACACGAGTGTATGAACTAATAAAATGCTCCGCTGGGGCGCAGCTTGATACGACCGCAGAGGTCGAACCCTGAACAGTTGGGGCAAGTATGGACACAACATTCAAGCTTGATACAGCACTGAATTTGGATTGTAATTAAATATTTGACACAGCATAGGTTTCTGACACAGAATGAAAGTGGTCTAAGAACTTAAAAATTTTCAATTTACCTATTCATACATGTGATGGACTGTGAAACTCAGATCAGGAGATTGGGAAATTTTGGTCAGGAGATTAGGACTCAGATCAGGAGGTTTTTAATCGACATTAATTTTGTTGTAAATGTAACCGTGTGCTGTAAAAATGGTCTTTTAAAGTGTGTTTTCTTCAACTTTCCAACCAATTTATTATGTTTATAGTACTCTTGTACTTATAAAGTTTCTCCATCTTTATATTCTACATGTTCAATCTAACATTGTTTTTTTCCAGTATGTTCTTTAAATTTTTTACTTCATATTCTATAAAACAATCATTGCAACCAGAACATTTGTTTAGCTGTCTGCAAATAGTTTTTATTTTTTTTTTTTTTTCTCTTGCAAATAGTTTTTATTTGCAAACTCAGAAATTCATTCTATCTGTAAAGTTAGGGTCATAGTTATTATATAAATTTCAATTTAAGCCTTAAAAGGAAGTATAGAATCCTCAAATAATTTTCAAATTATTATTTTTTTATTTGTCCTAAGACATTTAAAATCATTTAATAACCATCCTTTTATGATTATTTGTTCAATTTATATTTTATTTATATTCTTTTAAAAATTTTCATTATTAAAAGGAAAGTAACTTAAAACAGGATAAATCAAGGGAAGTAACCCAATAAATACACAGTTTTTGTTACACAACGGCAGTTAGCCTGAGGTAAAAATCGTTGCTTACCAGTATGTTTGACACCCAAGCTGACAAGTGAAGCCATATAATTATGCATGTTAATTGATTTACAGGTAAAATATAACTTCAGGTAATGTCAGTTACACCAGATGCCTGAGATGTTATGTTGGGCAGAAATTTTTCATTCATGAAAAATTTCATACACGGGATTTTTTCAACGGGAGGGGGGGGGGAGGAGACCCCTGAAAACGGGATTATTGTACTCCCGTCGGGAGGTTCACATGTATGCCTATTCAAACCATATCATTATTATTTGCTTTTATATATAAATCAGAAATAACCAATTTAAAATGGAAAATGTTAAAGAAAAAAAAAGGAAAAAAAAAATCCCCCCCCCCAATTTTTTGAACCCCTTAAGATTCATCGCCCCCAAACTCAATCCCAGCTTTCCCTTTGTGGTATGGTACCTTGCAGTACAATTTCAGAGAGATTCATACACTTGAACACAAGTTATTGTCTGGAAACTAGAAAAATGCTTGTTTTTTGGCCCCTTTTTGGCCCCAAATTCCTAAACGTTTAGGGCAATTACCCCCAAACTCAATTCCAGCTTTCCCTTTGTGATATGGAACCTTGCAGTACAATTTCATAACGATCCATACACTTACACACAAGTTATTGTCCTGAAACTAGAAAAATGCATGTTTTTTTTGCCCTTTAATGGCCCCTAATTACTAAAATTTTGAGGGAAAACCCCCAAAATCAATCCCAGCCTTTCCTTTGTGATATGGAACCTTGTAGTACAATTTCATAAAGATCCATACACTTACAAACAAGTTATTGTCATGAAACTAGAAAAATGCTTGTTTTTTGCCCCTTTTTGGCCCCTAATTCCTAATATTTGGAGGAAATTACCCCAAAAATCAATCCCAGTATTCCCTTTGTGATATGGAACCTTGTAGTACAATTTCATAAAGATCCATACACTTACAAACAAGTTATTGTCATGAAACTAGAAAAATGCTTGTTTTTTGCCCCTTTTTGGCCCCTAATTCCTAAAATTTGGAGACAATTACCCCCAAAATCAATCCCAGCATTCCCTTTGTGATATGGAACCTTGTGGTACAATGTCAGAGAGATCCATACACTTACACACAAGTTATGTCTGGAAGTTACAAAAATGCTTATTTTTGGCCTCTTTTGGCCCCTAATTCCTTAACTGTTAGTACCATAACCCCCAAAATCAATCCCCACCTTCCTTTTGGTGTATTGAACCTTATGGTAAAATTTCAATGAGATCCATTCACTTAAACTAAAGTTAGAGTGCGAAAACTAATGTGTATTCGGACGACGACGCCGGACGACGACGACGACGACGACGACGACGACGACGACGCCAACGTCATACCAATATACGACCACAAAAATTTTTTTGCGGTCGTATAAAAATTGTACTATTTTAAATTAGAATCGGTAACCTTGCATATTTGAAATAGATAATTACCAATTGCAATTATATAATTTGGTCCGTCCAAAGCGATCTTTATTTACATATTCAGGAATTAGTGTCCTTATCAAAATATTTTAAATCTCACAACGTATAAATACTTCAGCCATTTGAAGAAAGATGTTTAAAAAGTTGACAGGAAATTTAAGGTCAACTTTGTCTTATTGGAATGAGATCGAATAATTACGAACAAAAATTATTTTCCGGTTTGAAAAAGATAAAACAAAAATGATAAAAGAGAAATGTGGGTTTGAGACAGAAAAAAATAATTATTTGGGGAGGAATATGGTGGCAAAATACCTGAATCACCGTTATATATATTTTTTTATATTTTGCGTTAACTCAGTTTTTAAATATATGGGTGAGTATTTTGTTGTAACATCGGAATTCTGAATAACTTTCAATGAAATAATTTTATAAATAAAAATGGCCCACGAAAACGAGCGTATAAACCAAAAACTGTGCTATTTTGAATTATCATCGGTACCCTTGAATATTTAAATGTGCAGAGAAAAATTATCAGTTACATTAATATAGTTTGGTCCGTCCAATGCAATCTACATTTACCTAATCGGGAATGTCCTTATTAAAATATTCTACATCTCACAACAAATACTTTAGCTATTTGACCAACGATGTTAAAATTTTTTTTACAGAATCAATCTAACGTCAACTTTCCTTTATTGAATGGAGACAGACCGGCGGAATCAATTTTCAATGTGCTTTATATCTTGTACCTTTGCAAGACTTATCATTCATTCATAAACCATGTCTATACCGCAGACATACATATATATATATATACATATAATTATATGTCTGTCTTAACTGACAAGAATACTCCTGGTTTTACACTAGTAATTTGTTGGGGCCCTTTATAGCTTGCTATTCGGTGTGAGCCAAGGCTCCGTGTTGAAGACCGCACTTTGACCAATAATGGTTTACTTTTATAAATTATGACTTGGATGGAGAGTTGTCTCATTTGCACTCATACAACATCTTCTTATATCTATAAGCAGTGTATTCTTTAAATTTCTGTGATTTAATACCAAGAAAGAAAAATATCCCGAAATTAATTTGATACTTTGATACTCAATATTTTTCCTGGAAAATATTCACATCCTCATTCGGTCTGAAAATAAGATAAGAAACTGGTATACAGAACATGCAGAAGTGTGAATGTCATAAAACCTTGTTATATCAGAAACCATTATAAATGTGAACCTGTATACGTAAGACCTCATGGGACGATGTACCTAACCACATACAGGTAATATACAAGTAGCTCTGTTATACCCGGAAATGTCAAGGTTAATCTGACACTACCGATACAGAATGTACCAATGCAAAGTAAATTCTGATGATTGTGAAGCATGACCATTCATGATTTTAGTGGAGTCTTAGGTGGGGGATTGCCGGAACGATTTAAATTCTGACTAGATTTTTTCTCAATTTAAATCACTGAACTAAAAAAAAAGAAGAAGAAAACTACGTCCAAGAACAGAATTCTTCTTGTAAATTCATAAATAGAATGTTCTTATTTTGTAACTTTCGATAGACTTGACCTCCAACCCCCCACCCCCACCCCTCAAACCTGGGAACATTATATCTAACAATGTTTATGTTCCTGCCCAAATCAAAAAAAAAAAGAAGAAAAAAAATGAAAGAGATGAACCACTAGAGATGAACGGTAAGTCACATCAGATTCAGATATTTATATAGTTGATTGTCGTTAACTAGAGATGTATAGTTACATGTCTCTGCGTTAACTGATAAGAATAACAGGAAAGTATAAACTTGAAATAAATTTATGATGAATAATATGCAACTGCGGCACCCCTTTTTATCAAAACGTACATGCATGTATTTTAATGACTGTCCGTTATTTCGATTATAATGACAATTGTACGTGAAATCCTATAGTTGGTGAGACTTTTTTTTACCAGATATGCGACTTTTCGTATTTATATTTTCTCTTATATTACTCTTATTTAATATTTTATGCATAAGTGCAATATTGGGAATGGTTTATTCCCCCACAAGCTATTACTGCTAACGTAATAAATTAATCAACCCTCAAGCTGATCAGACGTTAATACAACTACTATCAGTCTATCCGGAGTGAAGTTTCTTTATTTCTTCAATTAACTTTTTGGGGATCATTAGTGTACGTCCAGTGGCATATATATTACATGCATGTCGGAACAGGAAAATTGGCATAAGGTTCTATTAGAACCATGTTCACATTAATATACATTATACCCAACAATTGAGATGATGACGAATTTCTTCAACTGTTCGAGAACAATCTAATTGAAATATAAATTTGTGATTTTACTGTGTCCATATCTTCGATGAACCAAAGCAAGTTAGATATTGACCTGTATTTAAATCAAATCGGTTCTGGATGTTCTTTCTTATATTCAATATACAATTTTAAATTGGGACTATCTAAAGTTCCGTAACTTTCTATCTAGGCGTATAAACCAATGATCGACAAGTGCGTACATTTTTTTAAAATCAATAGTCTTTCATGTTTCAAAATGTCCATCATTATTGACAACGAGTATATACTTACATTTTCCCCAATTTACCCTTGGAAAAAATATGTAAATAGATTTTTATTTTATCAAATCTTTTTGGGGAATTATTAAGATTTTCATAAATATCATTCTTTACACCAGAAATGTTATTTATAAACAAGCGTATGAGTTTAGTAATGACTAGTATATCACTATCGGACACGCAAGACAGAGATATTAACACCTGATAGTTTCAAAATGGAAAGTTACAAGTTATCGGCTGTGTACACTGATCAATACCCTCAGAAGTGAAGCGATGCATGAACATGCTTTATGTAATTGTGTAATAAGAGTTTTTAAGCCCGACAGGAAATCGCTTGAATACCTGGACATGTCACCTCACAATACCCCAGGGAATAATTCCTTTAGCCATGCTGGTGATCAGATAAGAGAAGGTCCGAATTTATTTAAATAAGTTTATTACATAAAAGAATTATGAACAAATTAGATTTTCGAAAACGATTTTACACGGAACACTTATTTATGACATTGAACTTTGACTTTTTAACTAATTCCCATATAAATTTCTTGTTTCAAAAACTTCGTAAAGAAAAAAACAGTTTAAAAACGACAGACCATAGTTATTTAAAAAAATAATTACATTTTCCGTATCAAGTTAGTTAGTCGGATAAATGCGACTACGTTAGGCTACTGCTGGTTTTGGTCCTTTGTGGTTTATAGATATATCGTGGTTTCTAAACCTAGAAGATGTCAAAATGGCCGCACGCAGAGAATTGATACTCTAAATTTAAAATCGAGGGTGATCTCTTATCTAGCAGAATAAAACTTTAATATTTATGAATTTGTGCTTTTTTATACAGAATGGACATAATATCAATTTTTTATTTTTTTGCGAAGTTTCCCTTTAACATAAAGATTCAGCACCCAAATTTTTTTAACATGTAATTTCATCCCCTTACTCAATATTTCATGCATAAAATATCAAGAAATAAATTGGGAAAGTGTATCAAAAAAAAATGCAAGTTATACACTGTTCACACTAGGGACTATATTTGTAGACAACGAAAACCAAAGGACGATAACTGTGTCCTTGGACCTAATAGGATAGAAAGACTTGACCAATTTTAATAAAACTTTGCATGACCTAAGCTTAGGCAATTATAAGATAGTTGGCCAAGTTTCATGGCCATAGGATATATATTATAGAAACAAGGGCCATTTTAATATTGAAATTTGGATGTTTATTTTTGACATTTAAATCAAATATATTCAACTGTCAAGATTTTGGCCTAAAAAAATTAAATATTGCAAAAATTTGCTTTTTAAATACTCTTGAATTTAATATAATAAGTATTAAAAGCAACGGAACACTCATTTGATTTATCAGATTTATTACAGTTATTCAAAAGTCAAATTTATATGAGCCTGTGCCTGAAAATAGAGATTTTCGAATTAAGGGAAGCCTTACATAAACATGCATTTTTTTCAACCAATTTGAAGTTTTTGAAGTTTTTTAACCATACATTATTCTTCCATATATATTAAATGTACTTTGAATATAAAGAAAAGTTACAAAAAGCATACCACATGAGTATAAAATGGTCTAAGGCCATGTAAGACTGAGAATTATTTAGAGTCGATTTAGGCCGTAGCCCATATTTACATATAAAAATGCACACAGAGGCTATAAGAAATTGAAATTTGTTACTTTTTGCTCATTTCTATGCTAAGATGTCATGATACAAGAAGTCTAATTGCAAAAGGACTCTTGAATTCAACTTTTTTTTGCAGACAGTATGGTCTGATGACCAGTTTTTCACTTTTCAATGGAAAACTTGCATGTAGTTTTAGTCTCATTTGGCATATATTTGAACCACTTACTATCCTAAAGAAGAAAATTATGGTAGCATATGAAATGAATAGGGTGTACTGATCATTGTAAAGTGTTTTTTTTACAGATTTAGTGAAATATTTGTGATGGACTACAGATTTTATGTACAAAGCTCTTCACATTTCACATACATCAAACAGGCCGTTTAACAAGGGACATAAATACAAATATTCTGCACATTTTTTTCTGTGATAATCTACTTTTCTCTAGATTCTGAGTTCACAAATGGTTAATTAAATTTGATTTAAGCATAGAAATACAAATATCAGGAACATTAAAAGCTGTCGGATAGAAAGTCAGCATGGCTCTTAGGCATAAAATGGAAACTGCTTTAAAATGCTTATTTAGCCGTATAATGCCAAAATGGGACATTTTCACTTAATTTCTGTCAAACAAAGATGTAAATCCTTTACTTTTATTGAGTTTGACAAATTGAAACCAGCACACCATTCAGGAAAGTTGCCAAAGTACAGAATCTACATTTACGGAATTCATCTCTTAGGCCCAAGAACACAGTTATTTCGTAGTGCATTTCTTTTAGACAATAAATTCAAATTAAAAAAATCGCACCTGCTCTATCTCAAAAAGATTTTTACAGTGTAGTGTACTACTATTGATACAAATAATAACAAAATTATAGAAACTTCTACCAGCTCTAACTCAAAATATTGACAATTCTGTGTAAAGGGGGGCTAAAATTCAGTTTGACAGCTTCAGACATTCTAATTTTTGACCTTTTTTAACTGGACCAAATCACTACTTAAAGGGAAAATTCACGATTTTTTACTTATCATCTTATTATGTTCATAATACCATAAAAAACATATTCACCAAGTTTTATCTGGATATGAAAACTAATAAAGAAGAAAATTGGGAATTATTAATTTTATTTATTCGAACTTCCTGACTTCTGTGACGTAGTTTAAGTCTTTTTGCATGCCGGGAGTGGAATTAATCTCATTTAAGTCTTGTTCGTTAATCATCTAACTACGCGATTTAAAGCGCATCGACGACTTTTGGCGTAGCTATTAACCAACTAATAATTAAGAAAGTAAAGTGATCAGCCGTGCAACTTTTAAAAAAAAATGTACGATTTATATTTTAAGGATTTCTGATATGATTATAGTCATTATAGTAATAAAAGTAAATCATACAATAGAATATTTTTATGAATTTTTTTTCCGACGGATATTTTCAACAAACATATATAACTGATAGTGTATTAAAAATGCATGTTTGTATTCTCACCTTTTACTTCAGTCTAGCAAACATTTCTCGCTAGTACTGTGTAAAATTAATACAATGTGTATTGTACTGTGACACTTAGTGACTACCTGTTGAATGCGTGGTTAAATTCAAGGTATTTAAAGGTTTGCATTCTGTAATTCTAATCTTTTGATCTTCACTCAGTGAATTTTAGCCGTCACGGTTCACCGTTCCAGGTGTGAACATCATTTCGTATGAATGATAAACGGGAGTGATAGTTTGAGACAAAAAAATAAAAAAAGAAATATAATTATTTTGGGGGAGTAATATGGTGGCACAATAACTGGATAGCCGTGGTATATTTTTATATTTTCCGTAAGCTCAGTTTAAAATGAATTATGACTGCTGAATATTTTTGTAACAATGAAATACTGAATTAATTTAATTGAATAAATAATAATGGCATTCTAAACACGAGTGTATGAACTAAAAATTGTACTATTTTAAATTAGAATCGGTAACCTTGCATATTTGAAATAGATAATTACCAATTGCCATTATATAATTTGGTCCGTCCAAAGCGATCTTTATTTACATATTCAGGAATTAATGTCCTTATCAAAATATTTTAAATCTCACAACGTATAAATACTTCAGCCATTTGAAGAAAGATGTTTAAAAAGTTGACAGGAAATTTAAGGTCAACTTTGTCTTATTGGAATGAGATCGAATAATTACGAACAAAAGTTATTTTCCGGTTTGAAAAAGATAAAAAAAATAATAAAAGAGAAATGTGGGTTTGAGACAGAAAAAAATAATTATTTGGGGAGGAATATGGTGGTAAAATACCTGAATCGCCGTTATATATATTTTTTATATTTTGCGTAAGCTCGGTTTTTAAATAGATGGGTGAGTATTTTGTTGTAACATCGGAATTCTGAATAACTTTCAATGAAATAATTTTATAAATAAAAATGGCCCACGAAAACGAGCGTATAAACCAAAAACTGTGCTATTTTGAATTATCATCGGTAACCTTGAATATTTAAATGTGCACAGAAAATTATCAGTTACATTAATATAGTTTGGTCCGTCCAAAGCGATCTACATCAATGTGCTTTATATCTTGTACCTTTGCAAGACTTATCATTCATTCATAAACCATATGTCTATACCGCAGACATATATATACATATAATTATATGTCTGTCTTAACTGACAAGAATACTCCTGGATTTACACTAGTAATTTGTTGGGGCCCTTTATAGATTGCTGTTCGGTGTGAGCCAAGGCTCCGTGTTGAAGACCGTACTTTGACCTATAATGGTTTACTTTTATAAATTGTGACTTGGATGGAGAGTTGTCTCATTTGCACTCATACCACTTCTTCTTATATCTATAAGCAGTATATTCTTTAAATTTCTGTGATTTAATACCAAGAAAGAAAAAAATCCCGAAATTAATTTGATACTTTGATACTCAATATTTTTCCTGGAAAATATTCACATCCTCATTCGGTCTGAAAATAAGATAAGAAACTGGTATACAGAACATGCAGAAGTGTGAATGTCATAAAACCTTGTTATATCAGAAACTATTATAAATGTGAACCTGTATACGTAAGACCTCATGGGACGATGTACCTTACCACATACAGGTAATATACAAGTAGCTCTGTTATACCATGGAAGTAATATTTTTAAATATTACTTCCATGGTTATACCCGGAAATGTCAAGGTTAATCACTACCGATACAGAATGTACCAATGCAAAGTAAATTCTGATGATTAAAGTATAAACTTGAAATAGATTTATGATGAATAATATGCAACTGCGGTATCCCTATTTATCAAAACGTACATGCATGTATTTTAATGACTGTCCGTTATTTCGATTATAATGACAATTGTACGTTAAATCCTACAGTTGGTGAGACTTTTTTTTACCAGATATGCGACTTTTCGTATTTATATTTTCTCTTATAGTACTCTTATTTAATATTTTATGCATAAGTGCAATATTGGGAATGGTTTATTCCCCCACAAGCTAACGTAATAAATTAATCAACCCTCAAGCTGATCAGACGTTAATACAACTACTATCAGTCTATCCGGAGTGAAGTTTCTTTATTTCTTCAAATAAACTTTTTGGGGATCAATAATGTACGTCCAGTGGCATATATATTACATGCATGTCGGAACAGGAAAATTGGCATAAGGTTCTATTAGAACCATGTTCACATTAATATACATTATACCCAACAATTGAGATGATGACTAATTTCTTCAACTGTTCGAGAACAATCTAATTGAAATATAAATCTGTGATTTTACTATGTCCATAACTTCGATGAACCAAAGCAAGTTAGATATTGACCTGTATTTAAATCAAATTGGTTCTGGATGTTCTTTCTTATATTCAATATACAATTTTAAATTGCGACTATCTAAAGTTCCGTAACTTTCTATCTAGGCGTATAAACCAATAATCGACAAGTGCGTACATTTTTGTTAAATCAATAGTCTTTCATGTTTCAAAATGTCCATCATTATTGACAACGAGTATATACTTACATTTTCCCCAATTTACCTTTGGAAAAAATATGTAAATAGATTTTTATTTTAATAAATCTTTTTTGGGAATTATTTAGATTTTCATAAATATCATTCTTTACACCAGAAATGTTATTTATAAACAAGCGTATGAGTTTAGTAATGACTAGTATATCACTATCGGACACGCAAGACAGAGATATTATACACCTGATAGTTTCAAAATGGAAAGTTACAAGTTATCGGCTGTGTACACTGATCAATACCCTCAGAAGTGAAGCGATGCATGAACATGCTTTATGTAATTGTGTAATAAGAGTTTTTAAGCCCGACAGGAAATCGCTTGAATACCTGGACGTGTCACCTCACAATACCTCAGGGAATAATTTCTTTAGCCATGCTGGTGATCAGATAAGAGAAGGTCCGAATTTATTTAAATAAGTTTATTACATAAAAGAATTATGAACAAATTAGATTTTCGAAAACGATTTTACACGGAACACTTATTTATGACATTGAACTTTGACTTTTTAACTAATTCCCATATAAATTTCTTGTTTCAAAAACTTCGTAAAGAAAAAACAGTTTAAAAACGACAGACCATAGTTATTTAAAAAAATAATTACATTTTCCGTATCAAGTTAGTTAGTCGGATAAATGCGACTACGTTAGGTTACTGCTGGTTTTGGTCCTTTGTGGTTTATAGATATATCGTGGTTTCTAAACCGAGAAGATGTCAAAATGGCCGCACGCAGAGAATTGATACTCTAAATTTAAAATCGATGGTGATCTCTTATCAAGCAGAATAAAACTTTAATATTTATGAATTTGTGCTTTTTTATATAGAATGGACATAATATCAATTTTTTATTTTTTTGCGAAGTTTCCCTTTAACATAAAGATTCAGCACCCAAATTTTTTTAACATGTAATTTCATCCCCTTACTCAATATTTCATGCATAAAATATCAAGAAATAAATTGGGAAAGTGTATCAAAAAAAAATGCAAGTTATACACTGTTCACACTAGGGACTATATTTGTAGACAACGAAAACCAAAGGACGATAACTGTGTCCTTGGACCTATACTGTAAAATGTAATAGTAATAATATAAAGTAACTTTCTGCTTCAAAGATCTTCTATACTGTAAAATGTAATAGTAATAAAATAAAGTAACTTTTTGCTTCAAAGATCTTCTATACTGTAAAATGTAATAGTAATAATATAAAGTAACTTTTTGTTTCAAAGATCTTCTGTACTGTAAAATGTAATAGTAATAAAATAAAGCAGCTTTCTGCTTCTATACTGTAAAATGTAATAGTAATAATATAAAGTAACTTTTTGCTTCAAAGATCTTCTATACTGTAAAATGTAATAGTAATAATATAAAGTAACTTTTTGCTTCAAAGATCTCCTAAACTGTAAAATATAATAGTAATAAAATAAAGTAACTTTTTGTTTCAAAGATCTTCTAAACTGTAAAATGTAATAGTAATAAAATAAAGTAACTTTTTGCTTCAAAGATCTTCTATACTGTAAAATGTAATAGTAATAAAATAAAGAAACTTTTTGCTTCAAAGATCTTCTATACTGTAAAATGTAATAGTAATAAAATAAAGTAACTTTTTGTTTCAAAGATCTTCTAAACTGTAAAATGTAATAGTAATAAAATAAAGTAACTTTTTGTTTCAAAGATCTTCTGTACTGTAAAATGTAATAGTAATAATATAAAGTAATAATATATTGATACATGTTGCAAACAAATTCCAATACATTTTTGTATATTATCAAATTACTGCCTAGATATGGCGTCATTCTGTTTTCATTCTGTTTTCAATGACAAATTTTAAATTAAAAAAATGACCAGGGCATATAACAACATGTTTTTTGTGTCATATAGTTACTGTTTCATTGATGTGCATCAAACACCTTTTTTTTCTCAAAATTCAACTCAAAGTTTTTGCCTGTAGTTAAGAATCTGAATGGATGTCCAAGTTTCTCTGAAATTACAATGATATTGTCAAATCATGTTGCATGAATTTGATAGAGAAGGGTGCCATGCCATTTATGGAAGCAGTTAAAATCAGTGCAAGGTTAAGACCATGAAACAAATGAATTTAGGTAACATGGTAAACCATTGTGGTTAAATTGCAAGAGTTGGTCAAGTGGTACATAAGTCATTACCAAAAGTGAGATTGACAGAGAGACATGCCTCACTTTATACTGCCACCTCATTGAGGAGAGGGAATAATATAATAATAAATATACAAACCTCATTTGGTGATACATATGTAGGATTCTGATACAGAGTTGGACCACCAAAACTTCCACTAAACATCCTTATTGGGTTCAAAACAAATCTAGGCCCTGAAATGTAAATAAGTGTGAAAATCATACATAATCATTTTTAAAGTACTAATTATTCATATTAGATGTTTAACTATGTTTAGCTCTGATAGTCTGATAATACTTAATAATAAATATGTAGAATAAAAGTGAGGATTTAAAATAAAATTCTGTACATAACTATCATATGGCAATATCAACAGGTACAACTCTAAATTTCTGAACTACATTATGACAGAAACATATATCTATAGATTTATTATGGATTTCACACCATACAATTACCTTGAGAGAAAAAAATGTGATTCAGAGTTTGTAAAGTAAAATATTATTATTAATTCAATAAAATATGTATTCCTACCTATTTCTGCCAAAGATCCATCTTCCTCTAAAATTTGATAGTTTCTGAACCATATTCTGTTATCATGTATGGAGAATGTATAAACATTGTCATAAAATGGTTGACTCTTAGGATGATAGTTTGGCGTTGAAAAGATCTGAAAGAAAATTTTCATTGCATGTTTATTTATGTTTTTATAAGAGACATTAAATAAATTCTAAAATAAAATGCTCCGCAGGGCGCAGCTTGATATGACCGCAGAGGTCGAACCCTGAACAGTTGGGGCAAGTATGGATACAACATTCAAGCTTGATACAGCTTTGCATTTGGATTGTGATTAAATATTTGACACAGCAAAGGTTTCTGACACAGAATGAATGTGGTCTAAGAACTTAAAAATTTTAGATTGAACATTCACCTATTATGGTCCAATATCCAAAATCTAAATACACGGTTAGATTCAGCATATCAAAGAACCCCAAGAATTCAATTTTTGATGAAATCAAACAAAGTTTAATTTTGGACCCTTTTGACCTCAATGTGGACAAAGTTGATAACGGGGCCCAAAAATCAAAAATCTAAATACATGGTTAGATTCAGCATATCAAAGAGCCCCATATATTCAATTTTTGTTGAAATCAAACAAAGTTTAATTTTGGACCCCGATTTGGACCAACTTGAAAACTGGGCCCATAATCAAAAATCTAAATACATGTTTAGATTCAGCATATCAAAGAACCCTAAGAATTCAATTTTTGTTAAAATCAAACTAAGTTTAATTTTGGACCCTTTGGACATTAATGTAGACCAATTTGAAAACGGAACCAAAAATTAAGAATCTAAATACATGGTTAGATTCGGCATATCAAAGAACCCCAATAATTCAATTTTTGATGAAATCAAACAAAGTTTAATTTTGGACCCTTTGGACCTCAATGTGGACCAATTTAAAAACGGGGCCCAAAATCCAAAAACTAAATACACGGTTAGATTCAGCATATTAAAGAACCCCAAAAATTCAAGAATAAAACCCCATTGAAATTGGTCAAGAAATAAGCAATTTATACGAAGTATCTTCTTTTGCACAATACTGTGCAATTAAATATTTCTTGCTATTGTGCAATACTGTACAATTGACAATTTCTTGCTATTGCGCAATATTGTGCTATTTGATATTTCTTGCTATTGCGCAATACTGTGCAATTGAAGATTTCTTGCTATTGCGCAATACTGTGCAATTGAAGATTTCTTGCTATTGTGCAATACTGTGCAATTGAAAATTTCTTGCTATTGCACAATACTTATTATATAATAATTTACACATCCTGTTTGGTGTGTATCTCCTACCATATCATTATTATTTGCTTTTAAATATAAATCAGAAATAACCAACTTAAAATGGAAAATTTTAAAAGAACAAAAAAAGGAAAAAAAGAAAAAAAAAGAAATCCCCCCTCCCAATTTTTTGAACCCCCTTATGATTCATCACCCCCAAACTTAATCCCAGCCTTCCCTTTGTGGAATGGTACCTTGCAGTACAATTTCAGAGAGATCCATACACTTGAACACAAGTTATTGTCTGGAAACTAGGAAAATGTGTTTTTTGGCCCCTTTTTGGCCCCAAATTCCTAAACGTTTAGGGCAATTACCCCCAAACTCAAACCCAGCTTTCCCTTTGTGATATGGAACCTTGTAGTACAATTTCAGAAAGATCCATACACTTACACACAAGTTATTGTCCTGAAACTAGAAAAATGCTTGTTTTTTGCCCCTTTTTGGCCCCCTAATTCCTAAAATATTGAGGCAATTACCCCCATCATCAATCCCAGCATTCCCTTTGTGGTATGGTACGTTGCAGTACAATTTCAGAGAGATCCATACACTTGAACACAAGTTATTGTCTGGAAACTAGAAAAATGCTTATTTTTGGCCCCTTTTTGGCCCCCAATTCCTAAACGTTTCGGCAATTACCCCCAAACTCAATTCCAGCTTTCCCTTTGTGATATGGAACCTTGTAGTACAATTTCAGAAAGATCCATACACTTACACACAAGTTATTGTCATGAAACTAGAAAAATGCTTGTTTTTTGCCCCTTTTTTGGCCCCTAATTCCTAAAATTTTGAGGCAATTACCCCCAAAATCAATCCCAGCATTCCTTTTGTGATATGGAACCTTGTGGTACAATGTCAGAGAGATCCATACACTAACACACAAGTTATGTCTGGAAGTTACAAAAATGCTTATTTTTGGCCCCTTTTTGGCCCCTAATTCCTTTACTGTTGGTACCATAACCCCCAAAATCAATCCCAACCTTTCTTTTGTGGTATTGAACCTTGGGGTAAAATTTCATAGAGATCCATTCACTTAAACTAAAGTTAGAGTGCGAAAACCAATGTGTCTTCGGACGACGCCGGACGACGCCAGACGACGACGACGACGACGACGACGACGACGACGCCAACGTCATACCAATATACGACCACAAAAATTTTTTTGCGGTCGTATAAAAAGAAGTTTTGCACATCTAATCCCTTAGTTCAGAGTTTGACACTTTAAAGTCACGTCATAGCTAGCATAGTTTATCATTGAAAGTAATTATTTTCAAGAATGCATAATTTCTTACAAATACCTGTAAACTAGATGCTTTATGGAGCCTAAATGGCTCACCTGGATTACTTTGGTTGAAGATATGCAACAGCAGTAACAAGTGGCTTATTTCGTAAATTAAATGTTGAAAATAAGGTATTTATGGGACATTAAATTATACTGGTCACATTAAAACACAGGAGTGAACACCATGAAATGTCTCACCTACTTTACTGACAATTGATTTTATGTTGAAAGTCTCAAAGATAAAGGTTTTACTACAAGTATCACATAAACTTAACATTTTGAAAGGTCCATGACAATGAGGCCAAGGTCTGATAAATCTTGTCAGACAGACATGTACACTTTACAATTATTCCATACACCAAATATAGTTGACCTATTGCTTATGGTAACTGAAAAACAGACCAAAACGCAAAAACTTAACATTGACCAATGATTCATAGAAATGAGGTCAAGGTCAGATTGCATTTTTTTGGAGTTTGTTTAGTTATAGAATACATTTAAGAATTAAACATCATCATGTCCAGTTTTCATTTGTCAAACACACAAAAAAAAAATTTCAAAGGAACAATGTTGAAAATTTTAGATGTTTGAATCAGTTTTTACATTGAACAGATTGAAAACATATTATTGATATTGAATAAATACAACATCGCATGCAGTTTGGTGAGATGATACATGTATTTTCATCAACTAAGAAAATATTTTTTTTCCTTAGGTAAATTAATCAATGAGTGATGGATTTCTCCTAGAAGAAATTTAAAGGTCCCAGTGAATAAACTACACAGAGAACAATAGCTATTGTATTTATTCAATGGGACAAGGGAACTCACAAAAGTTTAAATCGACAGGTAAACTGCAAATAATTCTGTGGAAAACTTTCATTTCTTTTGCAAAAATGCAATTTACACTGGAAACATTTCAAACTGACATAAAGCAAAAAATACTGACAAGTCACTTGAAAAACTGACAGACACTGCATAAGACAAACCGGTCTGCAAAAGACATCTCTAGCTGTCAAGACACTGTCTTCAACAAAAGAGTAGTGCATGTTCCTTCATAAATAACGAACCGTCAAAAGTTAACTAAATTAGGTAGATCACTATTGTACAGAATATATTATGTGTCGGGTGAGAAGTGAGAGATATATAATTCATTTCCAAAAATCACGGAAATTAATAGCTTTTTTGTACGCATAATACCTGTGTAAATAATTCTTTCAATAAATTCCAGTGTGGTTCTGTATCAAAATTCTGAAAAGATATAACAAATATTTATTTCATACAATTTATAATTTGTTTTAAACAAAAACATAGTATTTTGTTAAAAAGAAAGTAGGCTTGCTTAAATAAATAAATAAAAAGCTGCATTAAGAACATATGATACAACTATTCCACTTATTTTCATCCTTCAATTCAAATTACTTCAAAAAGCAACTTATTTGAAATCACCAAAGATATTAAAAGAAAGCTTTTACTTAATACAAAATTTGAATTTCATGGGATAAGTCTCATAATTCTGAATCACAATAAAAAAAATTGTAAAAACTTATATAACAAGACAAAATAAATGCCACATCAGCTTAAACATAAATCAAATATTATTTTCTCTTTATACCTTATCAAAGGACAAAAGTGGTCTGGATCCTTTAAGACAATTACCAGTCATTTTCAGTTCTAACATTGTGTGTACTGTAAAAGAGAAAGTCTGGTTTTATCTCAAAATACATGAAAAGCAATTCAATGTAAGAATCTTAATTCAATGTAAGAATCTTAAATCATCAATACAGTCAATCTAAATTTACTAGAAGAAATAGGCATCTAGAATCACACTGTGTTGTAAACAATGAAATATTCAAAGCAGTTTTCATTTTTTCTTGCTGTACCTACTCATCAATGAAAATTAAACTGCATCAAATTATCCAAACATATAAAAATATTCTGCAGACAACAATGTTTAGAAAAAAGAAATTAAATCAACCCTAAATATAAATCTTACAAAATTCTGTTGAACAGGAAGTCCTTTTGAATGTATTTCCTATGTAAAATTACATAGTAATTAGAGAGTCAATAGAATAATTAGAACAATAAATATTCTTACTCTTATTACAAAAACCCTTTGCATAAGTTTCTTATTATTATTGCGAACCCAATGAAAGTTTTCCACAGTGCCATCTCTATCTTGACCAGATATTTAAACTTTTGTAAGTTCACCTGTCCTATTGAATGAATACAATAGCTATTTTTCTCTGTGTAGTTTATTCACTGGGACCTTTAAATTTCTTCTAAGAGAAATCTATCACTTATTGATTAATTTACCCGAGTAAAATTTCTTATATATAGACAAAAATACTTTTTTTATACTCATTAACTGCGTGTGATGATGTATTTATTCAATATTAATCATATATTTTCATTCAGTTTAATATAAACATTGATTCAATCATAAAAAGTTGATTTCAAACAAAAGTTTTATCAATGAAATTTGATTTTTTTTGTCTAGTTATAGAATACATTTAAGACGATCTTAATTTGAACATCATAATTTTCAAGTTTTTATTTATGTCAAACAAATTTTTTTTTAAAAGGAACAATGTTGAAAGTTTTGTTAGAAATCAACTTTTTATGATTAAATCAATGTTTATATTAAACTGAATGAAAATATATTATTAATAATAAAGGAGCCTGTAATTCAGTGGTTGTCGTTTGTTTATGTGTTACATATTTGTTTTTTGTTCATCTTTTGTACATAAATTAGGCCGTTAGTTTTCTCGTTTGAATTGTTTTACATTGTCATTTCGGGGCCTTTTATAGCTGACTGTGCAGGATGGGCTTTGCTCATTGTTGAAGGCCGTACGGTGACCTATAGTTGTTAATTTCTGTGTCATTTGGTCTCTTGTTGAGAGTTGTCTCATTGGCAATCATACCACATCTTCTTTTTTATATTTTATTAATGTTTCAACTTTGCATCACTGTTTACATTCAACCGATTGAAAATATATTATCAATATTGAATACATATAACATCACATGCAGTTTTGAGTATAAAACATGTATTTTCCTTTATTTACAAGATTTTTTTTTTACTCAGGTAAATTAATCAATGAGTGATAGATTTCTCTTAGAAGAAATTTAAAGGTCCCAGTGAAAAAACTACATGGATAACAATAGCTATTGTATTTATTCAATAGGACAGGTAAACTTACAAAAGTTTAAATACCTGGTCAAGATAGAGATGGCACTGTGGAAAACTTTCATTGGGTTCGCAATAATACCCAAAGAAATAAAATGCTCCGCTGGGCGCAGCTTGATACGACCGCAGAGGTCGAACCCTGAACAGTTGGGGCAAGTATGGACACAACATTCAAGCTTGATACAGCACTGAATTTGGATTGTGATTAAATATTTGACACAGCATAGGTTTCTGACACAGAATGAATGTGGTCTAAGAACTTAAAAAAATCGAATTTACCTGTTCAATCCATATCATTATTATTTGCTTTTATATATAAATCAGAAATAACCAACTTAAAACTGAAAATTGTAAAGAAAAAAAAAGGAAAAAAAGGGGAAAAAAAATCCCCCCCCCAATTTTTTGAACCCCCTTATGATTCATCACCCCCCAAACTCAATCCCAGCCTTCCCTTTGTGGTATGGTACCTTGCAGTATAATTTCAGAGAGATCCATACACTTGAACACAATTTATTGTCTGGAAAGTATAAAAATGCTTGTTTTTTGGCCCCTTTTTTACCCCAAATTCCTAAACGTTTATGGCAATTACCCCCAAACTCAAACCCAGCTTTCCCTTTGTGATATGGAACTATGTAGTACAATTTCATAAAGATCCATAGACTTACACACAAGTTAAACTATGTAGTACAATTTCATAAAGATCCATAGACTTACACACAAGTTATTGTCCTGAAACTAGAAAAATGCTTGTTTTTGCCCCTTTTTTGCCCCTAATTCCTAAAATTTTGAGGCAATTACCCCCAAAATCAATCCCATCCTTTTCTTTGTGGTATGGTACCTTGCAGTACAATTTCAGAGAGATCCATACACTTGAACACAAGTTATTGTCTGGAAACTAGAAAAATACTTGGTTTTTTTGCCCCTTTTTGGCCCCAAACTCCTAAACATTTAGGGCAATTACCCCCAAACTCAAACCCAGATTTCCCTTTGTGATATGGAACCTTGTAGTACAATTTCATAAAGATCCATAGACTTACACACAAGTTATTGTCCTGAAATTAGAAAAATGCTTGTTTTCTGCCCCTTTTTTGTCCCTAATTCCTAAAATTTTGAGGGAATTACCCCCAAAATCAATCCCAGCCTTCCCTTTGTGGTATGGTACCTTGCAGTACAATTCAGAGAGATCCATACACTCGAACACAAGTTATTGTCTGGAAACTAGAAAAATGCTTATTTTGGCCCCTTTTTGGCACCTTATTCCTTAATGTTTCAGGCAATTACCCCCAAACTCAATTCCAGCTTTCCCTTTGTGATATGGAACCTTGTAGTACAATTTCAGAAAGATCCATAGACTTACACACAAGTTATTGTCATGAAACTAGAAAAATGCTTGTTTTATGCCCCTTTTTTTGCCCCTAATTCCTATAATTTTGAGACAATTACCCCCAAAATCAATCCCAGCATTCCCTTTGTGATATTGAACCTTGTGGTACAATGTCAGAGAGATCCATACACTAACACACAAGTTTTGTCTGGAAATTACAAAAATGCTTATTTTTGGCCCCTTTTTGGCCCCTAATTCCTTAACTGTTGTTACCATAACCCCCAAAATCAATCCCAACCTTCCTTTTGTGGTATTGAACCTTATAGTAAAATTTCATAGAGATCCATTCACTTAAACTAAAGTTAGAGTGCCAAAACCAATGTGTCTTCGGACGACGACGACGCCAACGTCATACCAATATACGACCGCAAAATTTTTTTGCGGTCATATAAAAACCACAACAAAATGTAACACTTTGATATATACAAACCATTTTCTACCAAAAATTTTGCAGAGGGTCCTCTGGGAGCATTGGCTATCCTGGAAAAGAGACAAGAACTGTTTGTATTGAAGAAAATAAGAACTAAGATTATCTTATCCTTTAATTGGGATACTAGAATATATTGATCAGGGATACAATTCCAAGATACAGACCTGATAAAAACTCAATATAAATATATATCAAATGACATGATTTTTGGTATAACTAAAAAGTAGATATTATTACATTTGTTTCAATAGAATACCCTAATTTGTAGCAAAAAAACAAACTATTTCATATGTGAAATAAATCCTATATTTTCCCTCCTCAGATATTTAAAACATAATCCAATCAAATATAAAGTTGTTATTTTGAAATGGCCATACTTTTCCAATCCAAACTATACTCAAAAGTGGAAACAAAACAAGGAAAATAAAGTAATTTAACAAAATTTACTAATTTCATTATGGTTTATTGCCATGTTAACTTGTCGAAGGTGAAATTTGTTTCTTTTTACCTTTATCATTTTTAGGCAAATTTAAGATCAGTTATGGTAACTTTTCCATGCACTAAATAGGGTGCCAAATATTGGCCTCATTGTCCCTACTCCTTTGAATATTGTAAGGGGTGCAGCCAAAAGTCAATGCTGATTTTTTTTTAACATAACCATTGTACAGCAATAACTTTGATTGGATTTACTCTCTTTCTCTCTCTCTCTCTCTTATTGAAACAATATATAAAACTGAACAAAATGTTGGAACACATTTATATTATGTTGTAACAAATACCACATATACAAGTCTTTCCTTTTCTTTGCTTCAAAGAATATGCATTTATTGCAGTTTTTCATTTCACAGATCTGAAAAAAATATTAAGCACAATAAAATTTATGGAAAGAATAAAACAGGTTTTGCTATTTATATTCATTCATGATGATATTTTTAATGCAAAAAGAAAAATAATTCACTATATACAAGGCACATATTTATTAATCTATAACATAATTTCTTCAGTAGCATTAGGCCACCCTCTTCCTCAGGCCAATATAAACAATAAAATGCTTCGCTGGGGCGCAGCTTGATACGACCGCAGAGGTCGAACCCTGAACAGTTGGGGCAAGTATGGACACAACATTCAAGCTTGATACAGCTCTGAATTTGGATTGTGATTAAATATTTGACACAGCATAGGTTTCTGACACAGAAAGAATGTGGTCTAAGAACTTGAATTTTTTTAATTTACCTATTATGGTCCAATGTCCAAAATCAAAATACATGGTTAGATTCAGCATATCAAAGAACACCATATATTCAATTTTTGTTAAAATCAAACAAAGTTTAATTTTGGACCCCAACTTGGACAAACTTGAAAACTGGGCCCATAATCAAAAATCTAAACACATGTTTAGATTCAGCATATCAAAGAACCCCAAGAATTCAATTTTTGCTAAAATCAAACTAAGTTTAATTTTGGACCCTTTGGACCTTAATGTAGACCAATTTAAAAAACGGGACTTAAAATTAAAAATCTAAATACACGGTTAGATTTGGAATATCAAAGAACCCCAATAATTCAATTTTTGATGAAATCAAACAAAGTTTAATTTTGGACACTTTTGACCTCAATATGAACCAATTTGATAGCGGGGCCCACAAATAAAAATTCTAAATTCATGGTTAGATTCAGCATATCAAAGAACCCCATATATTCAATTTTTGTTGAAATCAAAAAAAGTTTAATTTTGGACCCCAACTTGGACCAACTTGAAAACTGGGCCCATAATCAAAAATCTAAATACATGTTTAGATTCAGCATATCAAAGAACCCCAAGAATTCAATTTTTGTTAAAATCAAACTAAGTTTAATTTTGGACCCTTTGGACCTCAATGAAGACCAATTTAAAAAACGGGACCCAAATTAAAAATCTAAAAACACGGTTAGATTTGGCATATCAAAGAACCCCAATAATTCAATTTTCGATGAAATCAAACAAAGTTTAATTTTGGACCCTTTTGACCTCAATATGAACCAATTTGATAGCGGGGCCTACAAATAAAAAATCTAAATACATGGTTAGATTCAGCATATCAAAGAACATCATATATTCAATTTTTGTTGAAATCATACAAAGTTTAATTTTGGACCCCAATTTGGACCAACTTGAAAACTGGGCCCATAATCAAAAATCTAAATACATGTTTAGATTCAGCATATCAAAGAACCCCATATATTCAATTTTTGTTGAAATCAAACAAAGTTTAAATACTGGACCCTATCTTGGACCAACTTGAAAACTGGGCCCATAATCAAAAATCTAAACACATGTTTAGATTCAGCAAATCAAAGAACCCCAAGAATTCAATTTTTGTTAAAATCAAACTAAGTTTAATTTTGGACCCTTTGGACCTCAATGTAGACCAATTTAAAAAACAGGACCCAAAATTAAGAACCTAAATACACGGTTAGATTTGGAATATCAAAGAACCCCAATAATTCAATTTTAGATGAAATCAAACAAAGTTTAATTTTGGACCCTTTTGACCTCAATATGAACCAATTAGATAACGGGGTCCACAAATAAAAAATCTTAATACATGGTTAGATTCAGCATATCAAAGAACCCCATATATTCAATTTTTGTTGAAATCAAACAAAGTTTAATTTTGGACCCCAATTTGGACCAACTTGAAAACTGGGCCAAAAATCAAATATCTAAATACATGTTTAGATTCAGCATATCAAAGAACCTCATATATTCAATTTTTGCTAAAATCAAACAAAGTTTAATTTTGGACCCTTTGGACATTAATGTAGACCAATTTGAAAACTGGACCCAAAATTAAAAATCTAAATACACTGTTAGATTCGACATAACAAATAAATAAATGTGATCAAAGATTTTACAAATCTAATGCGCCATACTGTGCAATTAAAGATTACTTCTTGAAATTTTTCAATATTTGAAATTTGAAAAAAAAATAATATTTGAAGAATAATTCTTTTTAATTTCTGAAATCTGAAATGAGAAAAAATTGGCCCCCCACAATTTCTTTTTATCCCCCCCCCTTTTTCCCCCAAAAAAATTCTTTCCCTCAAGATATGGTCATAATCTCAATTCAAATTTCCAATGGAGTTGGCAACCATAATTACCCATTTAAATTTACCATAGTGCTAACTTAATCTATTTTATAATAGAATTAATAAAAATATAGTGTCAAATCTTTCATATGGATTTTTTTGTAAAAAAAAAAGATGAAAACATTTGCAGATATTTTTACTGCTCTTCCTTTATAAATATGCATTTCTTTAAACATAATTTAAAAGCAGAGTAAGGGAAGTAACCAAAACGTTGTATTTGGATTACCTCCCTTACACTGTTTTAGATTATCTTTATTGTTCATTAACCATTACTTTATACATAATTTAAAAGCAGTGTAAGGGAGATAATTTCAATGATGTATTTGATTTATCTCCCTTACACTGCTTTAAATTATGTTTTGTACTAAAGTATTTGTCCATTAACCAGGACAACCTTGTTTTTCCCCCTTTTTTGCCCCTAATTCCTAAACGGTTTGAGCCATAACCCCCCAAAGCAAATCCTAACCATCCCTTTGTGGTATGGAAACTTGTAGTATAATTTCAGAGAGATCCATACACCGTTCCACAGTTATTGTCTGGAAACTAGAAAATGCTCATTTTTGGCCCCTTTTTGGCCCCTAATTCCTTAACTGTTGGTACCATAACCCCCAAAATCAATCCCAACCTTCCTTTTGTGGTATTTAACCTTATGGTCAAATTTCAAAAAGATCCATTCACTTAAACTAAAGTTAGAGTGCGAAAACCAATATGTATTCGGACGATGACGCCGGACGACGACGACGACAACGACGCCAACGTCATACCAATATACGACCACAAAATTTTTTTGCGGTCGTATATAAACAGATGGAGAAAGGCATTTTCCCATCTTTTTATTGGCAGAAAAAAAGATGAAGAGGCAATTCATTACTTGTGCATTGGTCCAACACAAGGGACAGTTGGTGTGTCAAATACATGTAGTAACAAACACAACAGATATTTTGCTCCTACAAAATTTCACAACTTATTCTGTTTTTCAATCAGATTCTTATCCTAAATCTTTGTCAGATCAATAAATCAAAACATTTGAGTGAAATTATCAATTCAAAACCTAACAAATGTATGAACACATGTTACTAAAGTTGCACAAGAATTCTGGATGCAAAATTATTTATCAGATATATAACTGCATTTTTTTTTGATCTTGCATATATTTGACCAACCATATATTTTTTAGGACTCACCAACATACAAAAACGAATCTGGAAAACAAGATGCAACTCACAACCTTGGACATATTCTATAGTCAAGGACACTCAAGGTTTAATTGTATTTGCATATTCAGTATATTCAGTACAAGTTTTAATCTTTTGTATCTGTAAAATCAATTTTACTATAAAAACACATTTTGAAACCAAAGAATATGTTAACATTTGATTTATTTTCTATATATTTATAGTTGGAGGCTATGCAGATTTTAAAGATGACATATAATGCAAATGACATAATGGACAGTCCTGTACAAAAAACCTAGATATCATAAGTGGACATCACTAGGCAGGAGACATTAATTAAATATGAATAATAAAACAAACATACCTCATTCACAACAAACAACTGGTCTTTCTTGTCCATTTTACTTTCTACAAAGTAAACAAAGGTGATGTGTAAATTCTGCAACAACTAAGCAATAGGATGCAACACAGTCTTACTGACATAACTGTGTAATTTTTGCAAACAGCAGTATGTGTTACATGTATAGAGGTGTTCAGTTCAGAAAGATCTTTGTGAAGGGTTCAGAGTAATAAACAATGGGTCATAACATATAATTTTGATATTATCATCATATATTTACAACTATTTATTTTCATTTACTTTAATATCAAAGTGAATCAATTAAATGAGAACTACATGTAATCATGTTAAATGTTGTTTGAACAATTCTTAAGTTTATTTATTATATTATGTTTGAAAATTATGATTGTAATTATTCCATTTATTCTGGGCATTGTGATGGTCAATAACATGTTTGTTTGTTTGTTTATTTGTATTCATTCCGTTTATAATGTTACATTGAGCAAAAGAACCTTCTTATAAATGACAATATAGATATATATAATCTATCAGGAGAAACATAAACTAGAGGCTCCAAGGAGCCTGTGTCGCTCACCTCATGTTTTTATTTACAATTGATGCATGAAATAATGCACTCGTTATACATTAGCTTTAGTTTCAGAGATATAAGTCAAAAACTGCATTTTCCCCCCAAGTTCTATTTTTAGCCATGTCTGACATGTTGGTTGGCAGGCAGGGTCATCGGCCACATTTTTTAAACTAGATACCCTAGTGATGATTGTGGCCAAGTTTGGTTAAATTTGTCTCAGTTGTTTCATGAGAGAAGATTTTTGTAAAAGATTACAAAAATTTACGAATAATTGTTAAATTTGACTTTAAAGGGCAATAACTCCTTATGGGGTCAATTGACCATATTGGTCATGTTGACTTATTTGTAGATCTTACTTTGCTGAACATTATTGCTGTTTACAGTTTATCTCTTTCTATAATAATATTCAAGATAATAACAAATAAAATGGTCGAACCTTGAACAGTTGGGGCAAGTATGGACACAACATTCAAGCTTGATACAGCACTGAATTTGGATTGTAATTAAATATTTGACACAGCATAGGTTTCTAACACAGAATGAAAGTGGTCTAAGAACTTAAAATTTTTTAATTTACCTATTCAAACCATATATTATTATTATTTGTTTTTATATATAAATCAGAAATAACCAATTTAAAATGGAAAATTTTAAAGAAAAAAAAGGGGAAAAAAATCCCCCCCCCCCCCAAATTTTTTAAAACCCCTTATGATTCATCACCCCAAACACAATCCCAGCCTTCCCTTTGTGGTATGGTACCTTGCAGTACAATTTCAGAGAGATCCATACACTTGAACACAAGTTATTGTCATGAAACTAGAAAAATGCTTGTTTTTTGCCCCTTTTTGGCCCCTAATTCCTAAAATTTGGAGGCAATTACCTCCAAAATCAATCCCAGCATTCCCTTTGTGATATGGAACCTTGTGATACAATGTCAGAGAGATCCATAGACTTACACACAAGTTATTGTCATGAAACTAGAAAAATGCTTGTTTTTTGCCCCTTTTTTGCCCCTAATTCCTAAAATTTGGAGGCAATTACCCCCAAAATCAATCCCAGCATTCCCTTTGTGATATGGAACCTTGTGGTACAATGTCAGAGAGATCCATACACTTACAGACAAGTTATGTCTGGAAGTTACAAAAATGCTTATTTTTGGCCCCTTTTTGGCCCCTAATTCCTTAACTGTTGGTACCATAACCCCCAAAATCAATCCCCACCTTCCTTTTGTGGTATTGAACCTTATGGTAAAATTTCATTGAGATCCATTCACTAAAACTAAAGTTAGAGTGCGAAAACTAATGTGTCTTCGGACGCAACGACGACGACGCCAACGTCATACCAATATACGACCACAAATTTTTTTTTGCGGTCGTATAAAAACTGCAAAATTTCCTTAAAATTACTAATTCAGGGGCAGCAACCCAACAATGGCTTGTCTGATTCATCTGAAAATTTTAGGACAGATAGATCTTAACCTGATGAACATTTTTACCCATGTCAAATTTGTTCTAAATGCTTTAGTTTCAGAGATATAAGCCAAAAACTGCATTTTACCCAAATGTACTATTTTAGCCATATCGGCCATCTTGATTGGTGGGCGGGGTCATCAGACACATTTTTTAAACTAGATACCCTAGTGATGATTGTGGCCAAATTTGGTTAAATTTGGCCAAGTAGTAGACCATTTTGGTCATGTTGACTTATTTGTAGATCTTACTTTGCTGAACATTATTGCTGTTTACAGTTTATCTCTATCTAAAATAATATTCAAGATAATAACCAATAAAATGCTTCGCAGAGCGCAGCCTGATACGACCGCAGAGGTCGAACCCTGAACAGTTGGTACAAATTTGGACACAATATTCAAGCTTGATACTGTCTGAATTTGGATTGTGATCAAATTTTTGACATAATATAGATTTCTGACACAAAATAAATGTGGTCAAAGATCTAACAAATCTATTGTGCAATACTGTGCAATTGAAGATTTCTTCTTGAAACTTTTCAAAAATTCAAAATTTGAAAAATTGGGAAAAAAAAATAAGTATCCTCTAAAAAAAAGTGGAAAAAAAATCCTCCCCCCCCCCCAACTTTTTGAAACCCCCCTTGGTGCAATAACCCCTAAACTCGACCCCAGCCTTTCCTTTCAATGTAGTATGGAACCTTGTAGTACAATTTCAGAGAGATCCATACACTTAAACACAAGTTATTGTCTGGAAACTAGAAAAATGCTTGTTTTTGGCCCCTTATTCCTACATATTTTGGCAATTAACCCCAAACTCAATCCTAGCCTTCCCTCTGTGATATGGAACCTTGTGGTACAATGTCAGAGAGATCCATACACTTACACACAAGTTATTGTCTGGAAACTAGAAAAATGCTTTTTTTTGGCCCCTTTTTGGCCCCTAATTCCTAAACTGTTGGTCCCATAACCCCTAAAATAAATCCCAACCTTCTACTTGTGGTATTAAACATTGTCTTACAATTTCAGAGCAATCGAAATACTTATACACAAGTTCTTATCCTGAAACTAGAAAAATGCTTGTTTTGGGGCCCTTTTGGGCCCCTAATTCCTAAACGGTTTGGTTAAATTTGGCCCAGTAGTTTCGGAGGAGGAGATTTTTGTAAAAGTTAACGGACGGCAGACGACGGACGCCAAGTGAGCTAAAAAAGTGATGATGGATGTGTAAAATACCTGCTTTTGAGTGTGGCATTAAAGTTCTCAAATCCTTCATCAAATGTCTGGCTCTGTAAGATACACCTCTAGAAGAAAATACAAGAACCCTCTCTTTGTTGATCCATTTTTTCTGCAAAAGTGAGAAAAATAGACAATTTACAATGGATCAATCTATGAACAATATAAATCTGAATTACATGAACCATTTTCAGTAATCTGACTTTCAATAAGTAATTTATAAAGGTTTTAAAAACATGTGATTTTTGGCGAGACACCTAATGAATTTAATGTCATTTCATTGCTCTATTAGGTCATGGAGACTAGAATTATAAATTATATTGCAATAAAATAATTTCTTCTTACTGTTGGACTCGCCATGGCCAAAAATGACAAGTCCCTGGACTCGCCTTCAAAAATCCTTAGCGAGAACCCTGGCTGGTATCATTTAACTTCAGCAGGGGTCTCCATGGATGAAAATTTAACGATGGAGGAACTCTAACCAGGACAAGACCCTTGGTGGTCGAAAATATTTCATTCCTACATTTCAATATAAGGAATAGTGAATAGATTGATATATGTTTAATTTTCATTCCATTATAATTTTCATTCCATTATAGAATAACTAATATTTTCATTAAATTTGTGACTATTCCAATGTCATGCCTGCATTGCTCCTCTTTGTCAAGGATAACCACAATTCAGCTGTCTAGTCAACCCAGTTAACATCAAAGTTTTTCCTGTCAGAAGGTTCCCAGAGTCCTTTTCTCCCTATTTCAGTAATTTTATTAGGACTTGTTAATGTTTTTCTCACTGTAACACCCCTGTAGTAGTAGTGTCAAATTCAATTCAGAAGTCACAAACCAGGATCGATGATTTGCAGCATCAATAAAAAGAGTTTTCTTTCCCGTTGAAATGGTTTTAATGACTTAAAATTGCAAATTCCACAGAAATAGACCATGGAATATGCATCTTTTGATCCTGAAAGTAAACCGGTGGTATTAATTTGATTGTAAATTATGAAACGAATTCGGAATGATGATACAAAATTTCTTCAGATTATCAAGTTAATATTCAAGTATTTACTTTCAAACTAAAAATAAGTGATTCATTGTTATTTAGCAGAAATTATGTTCTGTTTTACAATTAAGAGTAAAACTTTGTACTCGTTTAAAAAGGGGGTGCTGATTGTGTAAATCAATAAAAAGCACTTGTTTGACTTGTTATACTTTTTTCTTCGTAATTGAATTTAGATTTTATTTTTCAATCAAATATTCAAAAGCATTTACTGAAAAGTAATTAAGTAATGCAATTAATTGTCCCTCTTGATCAAGTGTTCTCCTGTCAGATGTCTCGAAATACCTGTATAAGTGATTAGCTATCCTTAGGTGGATATCCCTCAGGGCTTTAAAACAGTAATGAGGAGGACCCTTTGGATTATAATACAAAAGGGGTTATGCAATTACATGCAACTGATTATAATTGCTAACAAAAATGGTGGCGGCTAGCGAAACAAAAAATAATTTTGACAACACCTTTCAATCCCACTGCAGTTATTTGATAATAACAAGGATCATTTGATGATGGCGGAAAATAATTTAACGATGGCGGGGATCATTTGAAGATGGCGGAAGATAATTTAACAATGGCAGTGCGCCATCATAAAACAGGTCATGCAGATCTCTGCTTTAGGAATATGACTTTCACTTCTTGGATGCATGTTCCTTGTATAACAATATGGTGGACATAATTTTTAGATAAATATATCTACCTCTTGAATAATTACAAAAGCCATATTTTTTAAAGGAACTTGCATACAAGACAAAAAAATTGCATTCCTAAACATGCTAAAGTTAAGTTGTACTTTTATTGGTCATGTTGGTTAAGTGACATAAATCTAAAAATTATCGTCTTTATTACCAATATAAGCTGTATTACACTATATAAAATAGAGTTTTCAGATAATATCTGTCAGTGTTTTAATTAGTTTTGGGGTGTTTTCTTGATATTGAAGTACCATATTTCTAATTGCATATCAAAGGATTGGAAATGGCGGCAAAATAATGGTGGCAAGCTGGGGAACAAAAATTTACCCAGAACGCTGCCTACCGAAAGTGCTAAAATGTGTTAAACAAACAGCAGTGGATCAGATGTCTATTACTTCTGATCTTGACCAGTATCGGGTCTGTTCGCTCCCAATACATGTATGCACCCTACACGTTCGCACCCCACATGTTCGCCCCCCCTGGGTTCGTTCGCACCCTATTCTTATATGAATAAAAATTTGGGATTTTTAAATGAAATATTTTATTTGGTGATTTGATAATTAATTATTAAATGTTAATTATGTATGATAACTGTTACTTGGTATTTACAAAGCAATCGATTTGGTATTATTGTTCTGTGTTTTAAAATCATGATTGTTGTTAGAACTAGATGTTAATACTGCACGTAGTTAGCTTGGTATGAGTAAACTCAATGAAGAATTGGTATCTTCCGCCTTTCTTTTACAGTCTTAGATGAACGCACTTTGCTTTGATCATCACTGGGAAACCATATACACCATATGCGATGAACTAAATGACCCTTTGGAAGATTTTCTTCCACCTAACTACATTGCGGATAATGTACAAATTAAACGAAATACTCAAATTCCACAACGTACAAATAGCTATGGAAAAAGTATCATAGAAATGTGTACTAGCTCCCAATTACGTATTTTAAATGGACGTACTTTAGGAGACTCTATAGGGAAAGTAACTTATCATAGTTACAATGGAACCTCAATAGATGATTATTGTATCTGTAGTTCAACATTCCTATCAAATATAATGAACTTTAGAATTGAAGACTTTCATCCAAATAATTCAGATCACTGTCAAATAACCGTAAACATTTTTTGTAGTAATATAATGGGTTCTTAACAGGACATATGTAATCTTCGGAAATTGCCACCAGTTATAAGATGGTCTCCAATACGAGAGCAAAAATTTATTGAAAACTTAAATTATGATAGTTTTTATAGTATTTGTACAAAAGCCAAAAAGCTGATAGCAAGTGAGAATGCTGATAACAGCACATCAGAAGTGGATGACGTGGTTTCTGATTTTAATAAATTACTAAAGGGAGCAGCAACCCTAGATAACAGATTTGAATCAAAACTGCATAATAAACAAAAAAGAAGGAAAATTTAAACCATGGGTTGACAAAGACTGTGATGTTAAATATAGGCATATAAAAGCTCTCTGTAGAACTTTAGGTAGGAATCCTTGGGATTCTAGTTTGAGACTAAAAATTTTTACAGAGAGAAAAAACTTCAACAAGCTTGTACGTAAAAAACATAGGGTCTATAAAAATAAAATACTGAAAAATATACTTGACCTATCCGAGAAAAATCCTTCAGAATTTTGGAAATCTGTAAATTTATTAAAGGACAAAGCGAGGGAAGACCCTAGCTCCAATATTTCACATGATGAATGGTTGAAGTACTTTAAAAATTTAATGAATTTTCAACATTGTAATAATTTTGATGAAAACATTAGTAGTATTGATTGTTTAAATGATAGTATTACTGCGGAGGAGGTGTTAAAGGTTGTAAAAGACTTAAAAGTTAAAAAAATCTGCTGGTTGTGATGGTATAACAAACGAAATGATTAGAGTGTCATGTGGTAAATTAGTTAAAACATAAGTGTTGATTTTTGATTTGATATTTAAAAGTGGAATCTTTCCTTCTATATGGAGAGAAAACATCATTAAGCCTATATTTAAAGGAGGGTGTTTTAATGATCCTTCCAACTACAGGGGTATAGCTCTTTCTAGTTGTTTAGGTAAATCTTTCTTAAAGATATTATCTACCAGGTTAGAGAACTTCCTTGAAACTAACAATATATTACACAAGGAGCAAATAGGCTTTAGGAAAAATAGCAGAACAAGTGATCACATTTTAACATTAAAAACTCTGATTGACAAGACCTTTAAAAAATCTAAACATCTATACACTTGTTTTGTAGATCTAAGAAAAGCGTTTGACACAATCAATAGAGATGGCCTTTTTCATAAATTACTAAAATATAATATAAAAGGGTCTTTTTTTAATATTTTAAAAGATATGTACAAAGATGTCTCTTTCTCTGTAAAATTAAAAGAGGGACTAACACAAACATTTCCCTCATGTGTAGGATTAAAACAGGGTTGTATATTAAGCCCTACATTATTTTCATTGTATATAAATGAACTGGTTGAAACGTTTGACCACAAATGTGATCCAGCATGCCTAGATGATAAACAAGTGTCTTGTCTTCTTTATGCAGACGATTTAGTAGTAATATCAGAATCTGCATCTGGCCTGCAAAATGCTTTAGATAAATTAAATATGTTTTGTGATAAATGGAATCTATCTGTTAATCTTAATAAAACAAAGATTATAATATTCAATAAAACAGGAAAAATTATTAAAATACACAATTTCTATTATAATGGAAAACTACTAGAGCTGACTGATGAATACAAGTATCTAGGTATAATTTTTAAACCATCTGGACTTTTACCACAGCAATTGATCAGTTATCTAAAAAGGCTAGCAAAGCTATCTTTTGTATTAGAAAATTATTATATTCTGAAAAGATGAATTTACTACCACATTTAAAGCTTTTTGATTCATGCGTTAAACCTATTTTATTATATAGCAGTGAAGTTTGAGCTACTGTTAGTTTAGTGAAATAAAAATACTACCATCAGGTTAAACTATGCAAACTTTAGTCCAAATAAGATTCAAATCAAATTTGCTAAATTTTTATTGGGTGTAAATAAAGGTGCTGTAAATAATGCTGTACTTGCTGAATTAGGTTTATTCCCACTTTCATTGTCAGCCCTTAAAAATACAATTAATTTCTGGATTCATATCATAAATATGAATAGCGAGAGTATGGTAAAGAAAGCATACAGTGAAAACTTTAACATGTCTAATGGTTTTTGTAGTAAAATAAAACTTAAAGTGTTATTAGGTAAACTTGGTTTTCAGCATGTTTGGGAAAATCAAAATACTATGTCAAAGACAAAATTACTTTTTTCAGTTCAAAAGAAATTAGAGGAGGAATTCATAAAATCCTGGAAACAAGCATTTTTTTGTGACTCTAATAAAGATAGTCATGGTAATAAACTAAGAACATATCGCAAAGTTAAAAATAATTACGAATTAGAAAAATATCTCCTACTGGACCTTAACAAAAATGTTATTTCTAAAATGGTAAAAATTAGAATTAGTAATAGCAAATTACTAATAGAAGTTGGTAGATATACTAGAACACCTTTAGAACAGAGAATTTGTCCACTTTGCAAGGATGGAATTGAAGATGAATTCCATTTCCTCATTTAATGTAAAGCGTTAGAATTTAATAGAAATATACTCTTTTGTAATTTAAGTGATATAGTTCCATCTATTGTTAATATGTCTGAACAAGATAAATTTAGTTTCATTTTGAAAAGTAATGATACTGACATTTGTACTGTATGTGTAGCTGGAATAAGCGATATGTATGATTCGAACATTCATTTAAAGCAAACATAATGTTGTTAAGAACTGTTGTAGTATTAAAGCTTATTGTAATAGCTTGAAGTGATAATATAGTATGAATAACACCTCCACGCAATGTAGATATAAAATATGTGTCTCTTATAATCATTGAGAAAACATATATCTGTATATTTGTTTTTTGTTTATTTTTGTCTGTTTTTGTATTTGTATTTTGTAAATGTCAGCTGGTATCATTCCTGTATTGGAATTTACACCAATAAAATTATTTGATTTGATTTGATTGATTATACAGTATAATAGTCCAAGATCATCATGACAGTTTTTTAATCATGATTCATTTCGTCAAAATAATTAATAAAACACTAAAAGAAATCTGTTTACGTTTTTATAAAGTCACTCTATTTTAAAACAATAAAAAAAACTTATTTATAGGAATACACTAACTTAAACACAATTAAATATTTCACACAAAACCCAATAAAAAGGGTGCGAACAGACACATGGTGCAAACGTGAAAGGGGGCGAATATGAATGGGAGCGAACGTGTTAACTACTGAAGAATGACTTATTACTCCCCTGATTCACAATTTATTAGATATCTACCGACAGCAATTGCCAATGAAGGCTATTTAACACCAGGCGTGACATGTATAAAATAAGAGGATGATAAAATTTCAGCAAATATCATCTGCTTTTGATGTGGGCTCAGTACTTTATCTATGGCTATTATATCTATGTCCTGACCAAAGCACATGCAACAAGTTTAAACTTAAAATTGGCAAAGTGATTTTGTAAGAAGAATCATCAATGATTATGCTCTCCTGTTACTGATGTACAAAATGACAAATTACCCGTCTATACTTCAAAACATTATTGACCAACACTTGAGCATTTACTCCTCATAATGGGACAATCCATGATCAATAATATTTTCATGGTTTCAACCTGGTAAATATTGTCTTTATGTTAATTTTCAAGACAAACAGACTTTAAATTTCTATTAAATTACAAGTTTGGGAAGTGGCTCATCTGAAGATATTGTGGTGGGTAAGTGCACATCATTTTCTTTCTGAGAAGCCTTTTCTTCCTTTTCAACATCTGCACGTGTTCGCTTTTTCTTCGCCATGTTTACATTTGTGATTTGCTCCGTAAAAGGGATATAATTTTTTAATACATGTTAATACTTTATTCATAAGTTATTATATTCTAAAAATAAAACACAAGTATATATATATTTTGATAATAATTGATTCGATGAATAGAAATTTGTCTTAAAAATATCAAATATCAGCTTTAAATTAGTGATGAATCGGTAAATATTTTTTATTTTTTCTATAAATAAAATTTTAAAATAATAAATGTTGATTGCTAGAAAATATAGATTGATAAAAAAATCTAAGTAGTATTATTCAAACTTAAAATTATCAAAATAAAATTTCATTTGTACAGGAAACATCGTCTAATTGAGTCCGCACCAAATTATGATTTCGAGCATCTGTTTACATGAAGTTTCGCAATGATTTCGTAAAACTCACTTTAGATTAGAGTGTAACATCCCTATATTTTAGATAGACACAGAAAAGACATGTCTAACAACATTAACGGTGATATGAACATTATGTCAAACCCCGATCATTCTTCAGATAATCGAACGAGCCCTAAGAAAGAATTGAGAAAACCTCACGAATCAACTCAAGCAAGGTTATCATATGGTCCAGGTTTGTTGTATTTCTATACTGTTTATGTGTGTATGGATTTTCTTTTGATAGAATTAGATGTATATGTGACACATAAGTTCATTCTGTATTCTGTTGATGCAGTATTAAGTTGGACATATGTTTTAACATGTTCAACTATAGAAACATTTTTCAGTTTCCTAAAATATATCTGTTATCAGGTATATATCGCTCAATTAACCATTTCCCAGTGAATCCATTTAAATTCAAACCAACTCTGTCTATGAATATTGGACATTAATTAATGAAACATGAATGTTTACATTAAAATTTTTGATACATTTTGTACTTCAAATTATTAAAGGTATTTTTGTAGATTGTTTCCTGCATGTGACACTCCTCTTTATTTAAAAATAAATAGACAGAAATTAAAAATTTGATAGGAATTTATACATCTAACAAACAACAAAGTTCCATTTAGTATCAAATGCTTTTCCTGTCAGATACTGAAAAAATAATTCACTGTCCGACTTTGAAGTATTAACAAAATTGTTTGTTGTTGCTACATTGTTTCTGGGTTTACCAGCAATAAATGTATATGTTATCGATATAATCATAATTTTAGAACCAGCTGAAGGAATTTTAATGGCAGTGTCGACCATTCAAGGCATTTGGTTTGAATTGTCTAGGTGGTCTTGAATAGGGTTCTTGCCTTGTGTGCGGGAGGTAATTTGTTCAAACTTTGGCCAGGTCAAACATGTCAAACCAAAGACTTTTAAATTGGTATTTGTTGCCTCTCTGCTAAGCACATGACATTAAGGAGTAAGAGCAAATATTTGTCAGCATAGAGTTAAACTAATGTGTTGAGGTAGCATGACATGTCTTCCTGCGGACTGTTATCTTGAGAACTATCACTTTTAAAATCCTGCTAAGAGTGTCTGTCTTGTATATACATGTAGCAGGGTTAATATTCATATCACACTAATGAGTTATTTTTAATTTGCTGCTGGAAGGTTAACAGCCATCCACCATCATCATCTCATTTGGTTTGTTGAAGGAACAAGACCAGAAAACTAGCTGCAGGATTTAAAATTTAGAACAACCAAATTTTTGTAAGACCAGATAAATTTCGCATTCTATCAGCCCTATGTCTGACAGATCAAAAAGTTTCACAAACTCTGCACACCTCCATTTTTCTTCGTAATTGTTCATGATTTCATTTTAAGACAAGATAGAAGAATGTAAAAAGAAATGTCAATGATTTTATGAGTTGTGTTCTCTTCTTAAATAAGGTAAATAAAAAGAAGGAAACATTATTTTCAGTTATAACAGATTAATAGTCAATTTGCAAGGCTTAAAAAAATCAATAAAAACCTTATTTGACCTTAAAACAATTCTTCCAAGATCATCTGTTTCTCCAAGTCCTATGTCATTTCCCCCGGAGGTAACATGATTACTTCAGATAATTTAGCATGCAGCTGGGATCAACAAAATGTTGTCTGCATGTCAGAAATATTAACATATAGGTAATATAATGTCACCTGACAATATTGTTGATTGGGTCAAAATAGAAAAATAGTCCATTATTTTAAGTGGAAATCTGTTAAAAATTTACATTGTGAAAAGAGTGGGTAGACTGGTAGATGCCTAGAAAACCTTCACGTGATCAGACTTGTTTTTAAACAGCCACTTAAACAATGTAATAAAATGTATCTCAGTAATCCTATGATATATATTTTTTCTGTAATCAAACCTTATTTGATTTATCAATTTCAGACATACATGTAAAGATGATAAATACTGATAAAATACCTAAACTTATCATGTCAGTCAAATTATAGATGGTCGTCACTCAAAACATTTCCTGCTTTTAGTTATCTTCAGGCCAACCAATATTATCACCCAAGTGAAAAGAATGATTAAAATTTCTGGCATTTACTGATTTTGTGAAACTCCATGTGAAGATATTATTCTTTAGTAGAGATTTTAAATTATTAATGGAAGAATGTATTTTGACCCCTAGATATATTTTGTAGTGAGTTTGTGTTGTTGGGTTGCTGTCACTTTGACGTTTACCTTTCATCTCTTCTTACTCACATCTAGCTTCTTTCTGGAAAAGAAATATGTTTGTTAGATAGAGTTAAATTTTCACAGACAAGGTTAGCAAATTTGATACCAAGTTGTATAATTAATATTTAACTTAAAACATGTATAGGATTACAGATATTCTGCATGTAACTTGAGTTTTTAAGGATGTAACTTCCAAATTTATGGTTAAATTATTACTTCTGTTTGCTTGTGTTTTTGTCTGGCATTGACGAAGTCGAAAAAGCGAGACATAGGCGTGCTGCTTTTGGCCGTGGTGACCCCAGTCATGGTCTATTGACTTTGAAACTTTTGCTTAGTTTACATGTATTAGTTTGTGATTAGGTCAGTTTAAGGGGAAGCACTAGTGGTAGATCAATGATATTTTGTATGCAGATGTATTAGCATTACAAGTCACATCTCATTTCAATGTTAATTATCTGGCCCCACCACTTCTTGATGGTTCATTGACTTTGAAACTTTTACATAGTTTACAAGTTAAAGTTTGTTTGAATATTGCCATTTTAATTTCAACATTTGCATTATACAAGTGTTATCAAAATCAACAGTTTAATAAAGAAATCATCTATGGGTAATTTTTTTTAAATCTTTTTAGGTTCTAGAGAAGCATCATTAAGTCCTGCAAAGAAGACAACCTTATCAGCTACAGCTAAAGAATTTGTACCTAAAGCAGTAAGTACAAATGTACATTTGTATACTGAAGATAGTAAAAATAAACATATATTTCATAATGCTTTTGTGAATGCTTATTGCTGTTAAAACTGGTGCAAGAAAGGGAAGATTTTTAATTATCATTTATGATTATCTGATCTTTTTTGCATAGATTAAATGTTAAAAGTTTGTGATTATGTCAGTTTAATGGGAACTACTAATGGTCAATCAGTGATATTTGTTATGCAGTTGTATATGAATTAGTACATCCCATTTCCATGAAAATTATTTGTCCCCACCCTCTCAATTATGGTTCATTGACTTTGAAAGTTTGGATGGTTAACATGTTAAAGTTTTGCCATTCTAATTTCAACATTTGTTTTATTCTGTCAAAATCTTATGAAGGCAAGATACATGTATATCTCTGAGTTTATTAATGTTGGGAATCTATTTTTTTTTACATTTTTATCAGACAAACTCTTTAAAGTATGACAAAAAAACACTTTTAGCTTAATGTAATAAGAAATGTATCTTTTAAGTCATAACAATCTCTATAAAGGGGTTATTTATGTATATCTCATCAAAATAATATGTCAATTAAAAAAATCTTTATTGCATTCATAGTTTAACATTGAACCTTATGGGAGTTTAACATTGAACCTTATGGGAGTTTAACATTGAACCTTATGGGAGTTTAACATTGAACCTTATGGGAGTTTAACATTGAACTATTAGGAAAATATGTGTAAGCTGTTTCTTGTGCCAGAATCAATGCTGATTGCCACTATATGTACTTCAGAGTACTAAAAAAATGGTCCTCAAATTAATGGTCATGATTTGAAATCCAGTGTGGGTTTCTCAATTAAACATACTTTTACCAGAAAAATTGTATGGACAAATCTCTCTGAATTATTTCAGATAACTTTTCCTTCCTACATTTTTTTTGTCCTAGTACCGAATTCATTGTCAGTGCAACAATGGTACTGTACATATTTCAGAAATATTTTGAAATAATATGAATAATATTGAGATTTTTGGGAGCAACAAATCTTCTTTTTTGAATCTAAATGGGCAATCCTAACCTCTTTAATTTGAGTGAATAAACTTAACATGCTAAAAGTTTTTCCATCTCAGAATTGCATTCATTTACCCTGCTAACAGTAAAAGCTTAGAGTTCTTTCTTTACTTAATGCTTTCTATTCTAGGCTTCCAATCTTTCTGTAGCTGCTGCTGAATTTGTACCCAGACAGTCACCATTTCCAACTTATGCTAATCAGGTAGCACAAACATTTATTATTATTTACAGTAATTAGCTCACCTGGCCAAAAGGGCTAGTTTTAGTTAATCTAATCACACTGCACCCATTCTCCATCGTCTGCTAGAACACTGAAATAAATGCTTGCCTGCAGGAACTAAAAGTGGTGTTTTGCTGCGCAAAGATACATGTATGTTTGTAACTTTGTAGTGGCAACAATATCTTCTATAAATGTAAAAGTGATTGTCCTAATCATCATGCCATGAGAGGTGATCAAAGCATAATGTTAAATTTGGGACCGTATAAGACATAGTATGTTCAAACAAACCTGCTACAGCCTTAAAAGAAATAATTATAACTTTAGGTCGAGAAAAATTTCATCAAACTTTTTATTCAATAAACAGAAACAGCAACAAAAAGTAAATAATAACTATATTACATTGATAAAATATGTGTAATAACAAAGTAAATAATAACTATATTACATTGATAAAATATGTGTAATAACAAAGTAAATAATAACTATATTACATTGATAAAATATGTGTAATAACAAAGTAAATAATAACTATATTACATTGATAAAATATGTGTAATAACAAAGTAAATAATAACTATATTACATTGATAAAATATGTGTAATAACAAAGTAAATAATAACTATACTACATTGATAAAATATGTGTAATAACAAAGTAAATAATAACTATATTACATTGATAAAATATGTGTAATAACAAAGTAAATAATAACTATACTACATTGATAAAATATGTGTAATAACAAAGTAAATAATAACTATACTACATGGATAAAATATGTGTAATAACAAAGTAAATAATAACTATACTACATTGATAAAATATGTGTAATAACAAAGTAAATAATAACTATATTACATTGATAAAATATGTGTAATAACAAAGTAAATAACTATACTACATTGATAAAATATGTGTAATAACAAAGTAAATAATAACTATACAACATTGATAAAATATGTGTTATAACAAAGTAAATAATAACTATACTACATTGATAAAATATGTGTAATAACAAAGTAAATAATAACTATACTACATTGATAAAATATGTGTAATAAAGTAAATAATAACTATACTACATTGATAAAATATGTGTAATAACAAAGTAAATAATAACTATATTACATTGATAAAATATGTGTAATAACAAAGTAAATAACTATACTACATTGATAAAATATGTGTAATAACAAAGTAAATAATAACTATACAACATTGATAAAATATGTGTTAGAACAAAGTAAATAATAACTATATTACATTGATAAAATATGTGTAATAACAAAGTAAATAATAACTAAACTACATTGATAAAATATGTGTAATAACAAAGTAAATAATAACTATACTACATTGATAAAATATGTGTAAAAACAAAGTAAATAATAACTATATTACATTGATAAAATATGTGTAATATAAAATTGCTTCCTCACAATGACCTTCAATACTTAAAAAAAGAGAAAAAGTTGCAAAATTAGAAAAATACAGCATTTAAACACTACAAAAAAAACAACACTTTTTCAAAGGAAATATGTGATTTGGATCAATTAGTATGTTATACAATAACCATCCTAAGAACAGGACACACAATACCAGATTTACCTCATGCTAATAAGAGTTGTGCTCCTCTTGAGTCAAAATTCATTTGACGACATTTTATCACTTTTCCATTGGTTTCTATATATCAAGAGTTGATGTATATTGTTGTTTGTTTTAATGTATAAACTAACAGACCTGAGGCTACTTCTCAAACAAATTTTCTGATTTTGTCATTTAAAATGGAAATGCTTACTAGGTGAAATGTACATTTTAACTAATACATTTCTGTTTTGTTGATAAGTAAGGCATTGGACAGATACTTCACACACCTACATCATTTGAACATTTGAACATTTCACACACCTACATCTTGTGTAATGTGTTATTTGAACATTTCACACACCTACATCTTGTGTAATGTGTTATTTGAACATTTCACACACCTACATCTTGTGTAATGTGTTATTTGATCATTTGAACATTTCACACACCTACATATTGTGTAATATGTTATTTGATCATTTGAACATTTCACACACCAATATCTTGTGTAATGTGTTATTTGATCATTTGAACATTTCATACACCTACATCTTGAGTAATGTGTTATGTGATCATTTGAACATTTCATACACCTACATCTTGAGTAATGTGTTATTTGAACACTTGAACAGTTCATAGTATAGTGTTGATTTTAATAACATTTGTATTTTATTTATAATTTTCAGAATAATTTATTTGAAGATTTTCAACGATTAGTGAATATTCGTCCACATGATATCAATCAGTCTGGGCCATCTCCATCAGTAGAAAACATCATTGATGCCTTCAATAGTATATTATATGAAATGACAATACAACCTGGTAGTGTTGAAGATTCATTAAAACCTTTTGTAGATTTGCTCCAGAACTGCTCTGATGACCAAGCTATTAATGGCATCGTAGAAAGCTTGTTTGAACAGGTACTTCTATGCTATTTAAGACACCTTATATCAGGACAATACTGTGGCAACCGACAGACTCTTTAAACATGTAATATGTTTGTTTTTATATAACTTTGACCTTGATTGCCAGTGACATTGACAAGTTACATATGCTTACTGTCTTCATATTGTGTCATTGTAATTGTACAACTGCTGTTATCTTTGCTCTGTGTAATGGAAATTAAAAAATCATCATGATATTTAAATTATTTTTCACAAATGATGTAGTAATTATGTTTTCCTTTTCAACATAAGAATTTCATGTGTGTCCAGTGAGTGCATATTTGAAAGTCAGCAATTTCACCTCAGAAAGGAGTATGTATAGTCATCACCATTATTTGATCCTGGAAATCAAAAATTAGTAAAACTCTTCAGCATGTTCGATCTTTAAAAAAAATTGTAAATATCATTGATTAATGTCAGTTGTGAAATTGACATACTGTAATCCAACTAATTTTCAAGATCGAAAAATGATACAAATACAAATCGTCCTGAATATATCAAACTTGGATCTTCACAAAATAAATAGATCATAACAGTTAGATAATCACAAAAATAAATTGCTCCAAGTTGTCTCGAAAGGGCTAAACACAAAAAAAAAATCTGTGGAAATAAGCAAGTTTATAGTTTTTGATCTGAAATAAGCATTTTACACACAGCTTTTGGCAAAATTAGATATGAGCAACAGCTTCATCCAAAAACATATTTTACCCACATTTTTGCAAAGTTTAAACCCTAAAGCAAGTATATTAGACAAAATTCAAAAATATTAATTCTGATAGACTAATACCTTGTGACCATCTGAAGCTGGTTCAAATTTAAAGGGCCAAAATGTGGCCTTCTTCTTTGTGCTTTTGTACTTTCAATGGGACTTTATTATTTTGTTTGGATCTCCCTATTGACAAACTATAAAGTGTTATGATAATTGTTAGAGTTCTTAAAAAGTACAAAGATTGATGAATCCAAAGAGAAATTTCAGAAGTATGTGGCTGCATATATCACACACATTTACACAATGTTCAGATTGAGGCTTAAATAAGTCTGAAACTACCTTAATCACTTTTTCAAAATGCAGTTATTGAGATGTTTCTTATTAATTTTCAATTCAATGTAATCTCATCTTTTTGTGTCATAGGTATAAATGTAGGCAAACATTCAGGTAAAATCTCCATTGTTGGTGATAGATATTAAGGCATAAAAAAAAGCTAACATGTAAATAATAAAATTAGAAAAAAATTAGAATAATGTAAACAAAAGTATATACCCAAATTATGCTTCATAAAACTGGTGAAAACATGGCCTACTCTACAGAGTAATAGCTAGTAAATAACTGGAGAAAACTGATAATGACTAAGAAATTTTGAAATATTACTGGTTAGGTGTTTAGATAAAAATTTATGAAATATTACAGGTGAGTGTTAGATATTGTTTAAATACTCCTAGATCTGTTTTACAATATTGATTATGTTTTCAGAGTATAATAGAACCAAATTTTCGATATACTGGTGCAAAAGTTGTGCAGTATTTATCTAATCAACTTAAAGGAAATGCAGCCTTTGCCAACTTTAGAACCCAATTCCTTACACGGTTAGTTTAATCAGTTTTAGTTTTGTGTTTGTTAATATTTGATTGAATTATTAGATTAGTTAATTATTAATTCAATTATTATTACAATTTGTTTTTATTTTCAGAAATATTGAAAAAGTAAAGGTTTTGTAACCTCTAGATTTGCATTCCAATTTTCTATATTAAAATGATTAAGCAAATGCATCTTGGAGCATGATAGTTTTCACTACAAGTAGGTCATTGTGATCTCCATTTCATGTTTTCATCTTTATAAACATTTCTATAAACTGTAATGGTATTTTAGGGGGGAAACAAGGAAAATGTGTAATGTTTAGGTACATGTAAATACAATCTACTTTGAAAAATAAATATATTTTGTCTGCTTTTACAGATGCAAAGAAGAATATTTAAAAAAAGAAGAATTAATAACTCATCCAGAAACAGTTTCTAGATTGTGTGGATTTACAATGTTTATGGGAGAACTATTTTTGAATGTAGAAGTAAGAAATCTATTTATTCTATGTCATGTTTTTAAAAACTCATCAATGATAGGAGGCTTATTACTCACTAAACATGCACTTCATCTACATAAGACTCATCAATGATAGGAGGCTTACTATTCAATACACTAAACACACATTTCATCTACATAAGATCAATGATAGGAGGCTTATAATTCAATACACTAAACACACATTTCATCTACATAAGACTCATCAATGATAGGAGGCTTATAATTCAATACACTAAACACACATTTCATCTACATAAGATCAATGATAGGAGGCTTATAATTCAATACACTGAACACACATTTCATCTACATAAGATCAATGATAGGAGGCTTATAATTCAATACACAAGACACACGTTTCATCTACATAAGACTCGTCAATGATAGGAGGCTTATAATTCAATACACAAGACACACGTTTCATCTACATAAGACTCATCAATGATAGGAGGCTTATTATTCAATACACTAGACACACGTTTCATCTACATAAGATCAATGATAGGAGGCTTATAATTCAATACACTAAACACACATTTCATCTACATAAGACTCGTCAATGATAGGAGGCTTATTATTCAATACACTAAACACACATTTCATCTACATAAGATCAATGATAGGAGGCTTATAATTCAATACACAAGACACACGTTTCATCTACATAAGACTCATCAATGATAGGAGGCTTATAATTCAATACACTAAACACACATTTCATCTACATAAGACTCATCAATGATAGGAGGCTTATTATTCAATACACTAAACACACATTTCATCTACATAAGACTCATCAATGATAGGAGGCTTATAATTCAATACACTAAACACACATATCATCTACATAAGACTCATCAATGATAGGAGGCTTATAATTCAATACACTAAACACACATTTCATCTACATAAGATCAATGATAGGAGGCTTATAATTCAATACACAAGACACACGTTTCATCTACATAAGACTCATCAATGATAGGAGGCTTATAATTCAATACACTAAACACACATTTCATCTACATAAGACTCATCAATGATAGGAGGCTTATAATTCAATACACTAAACACACATTTCATCTACATAAGATCAATGATAGGAGGCTTATTATTCAATACACTAAACACACATTTCATCTACATAAGACTCATCAATGATAGGAGGCTTATAATTCAATACACTAAACACACATTTCATCTACATAAGACTCATCAATGATAGGAGGCTTATAATTCAATACACTAAACACACATTTCATCTACATAAGACTCATCAATGATAGGAGGCTTACAATTCAATACACTAGACACACGTTTCATCTACATAAGATCAATGATAGGAGGCTTATAATTCAATACACTAAACACACGTTTCATCTACATAAGACTCATCAATGATAGGAGGCTTACTATTCAATACACTAGACACACGTTTCATCTACATAAGATCAATGATAGGAGGCTTATAATTCAATACACTAGACACACGTTTCATCTACATAAGACTCATCAATGATAGGAGGCTTATTATTCAATACACTAAACCCACATATCATCTACATAAGATCAATGATAGAAGGCTTATTATTCAATACACTAAACACACATTTCATCTACATAAGACTCGTCAATGATAGGAGGCTTATTATTCAATACACTAAACACACATTTCATCTACATAAGACTCATCAATGATAGGAGGCTTATAATTCAATACACTAAACACACATTTCATCTACATAAGACTCATCAATGATAGGAGGCTTATAATTCAATACACTAAACACACATTTCATCTACATAAGACTCATCAATGATAGGAGGCTTATTATTCAATACACTAAACACACATTTCATCTACATAAGACTCATCAATGATAGGAGGCTTACTATTCAATACACTAGACACACGTTTCATCTACATAAGATCAATGATAGGAGGCTTATAATTCAATACACTAAACACACGTTTCATCTACATAAGACTCATCAATGATAGGAGGCTTATTATTCAATACACTAAACACACATTTCATCTACATAAGATCAATGATAGGAGGCTTATAATTCAATACACTAAACACACATTTCATCTACATAAGATCAATGATAGGAGGCTTATTATTCAATACACTTAACACACATTTCATCTCCATAAGACTCATCAATGATAGGAGGCTTATTATTCAATACACTAAACACACATTTCATCTACATAAGACTTATCAATGATAGGAGGCTTATAATTCAATACACAAGACACACGTTTCATCTACATAAGACTCATCAATGATAGGAGGCTTATAATTCAATACACTAAACACACATTTCATCTACATAAGATCAATGATAGGAGGCTTATAATTCAATACACTAAACACACATTTCATCTACATAAGATCAATGATAGGAGGCTTATAATTCAATACACTAAACACACATTTCATCTACATAAGATCAATGATAGGAGGCTTATAATTCAATACACAAGACACACGTTTCATCTACATAAGACTCATCAATGATAGGAGGCTTATAATTCAATACACCAGACACACGTTTCATCTTCATAAGACTCATCAATGATAGGAGGCTTATAATTCAATACACAAGACACACGTTTCATCTTCATAAGACTCATCAATGATAGGAGGCTTATTATTCAATACACTAAACACACATTTCATCTACATAAGATCAATGATAGGAGGCTTATAATTCAATACACTAAACACACATTTCATCTACATAAGATCAATGATAGGAGGCTTATAATTCAATACACTAAACACACATTTCATCTACATAAGATCAATGATAGGAGGCTTATAATTCAATACACAAGACACACGTTTCATCTACATAAGACTCATCAATGATAGGAGGCTTATTATTCAATACACAAGACACACACTTCATCTACACAAGACTCATCAATGATAGGAGGCTTATTATTCAATACACTAAACACACATTTCATCTATATAAGACTTATCAATGATAGGAGGCTTATTATTCAATACACAAGACACACGTTTCATCTACATAAGACTCATCAATGATAGGAGGCTTATTATTCAATACACTAAACACACATTTCATCTACATAAGATCAATGATAGGAGGCTTATAATTCAATACACTAAACACACATTTCATCTACATAAGACTCATCAATGATAGGAGGCTTATAATTCAATACACTAAACACACATTTCATCTACATAAGATCAATGATAGGAGGCTTATAATTCAATACACTAAACACACATTTCATCTACATAAGATCAATGATAGGAGGCTTATAATTCAATACACAAGACACACGTTTCATCTACATAAGACTCGTCAATGATAGGAGGCTTATTATTCAATACACCAAACACACATTTCATCTACATAGACTCATCAATGATAGGAGGCTTATTATTCAATACACCAAACACACGTTTCATCTACATAAGACTCATCAATGATAGGAGGCTTATTATTCAATACACTAAACACACATTTCATCTACATAAGATCAATGATAGGAGGCTTATAATTCAATACACAAGACACACGTTTCATCTACATAAGACTCATCAATGATAGGAGGCTTATAATTCAATACACTAAACACACATTTCATCTACATAAGACTCATCAATGATAGGAGGCTTATTATTCAATACACTAAACACACATTTCATCTACATAAGACTCATCAATGATAGGAGGCTTATAATTCAATACACTAAACACACATTTCATCTACATAAGACTCATCAATGATAGGAGGCTTATAATTCAATACACTAAACACACATTTCATCTACATAAGATCAATGATAGGAGGCTTATAATTCAATACACAAGACACACGTTTCATCTACATAAGACTCATCAATGATAGGAGGCTTATAATTCAATACACTAAACACACATTTCATCTACATAAGACTCATCAATGATAGGAGGCTTATAATTCAATACACTAAACACACATTTCATCTACATAAGATCAATGATAGGAGGCTTATTATTCAATACACTAAACACACATTTCATCTACATAAGACTCATCAATGATAGGAGGCTTATAATTCAATACACTAAACACACATTTCATCTACATAAGACTCATCAATGATAGGAGGCTTATAATTCAATACACTAAACACACATTTCATCTACATAAGACTCATCAATGATAGGAGGCTTACTATTCAATACACTAGACACACGTTTCATCTACATAAGATCAATGATAGGAGGCTTATAATTCAATACACTAAACACACGTTTCATCTACATAAGACTCATCAATGATAGGAGGCTTACTATTCAATACACTAGACACACGTTTCATCTACATAAGATCAATGATAGGAGGCTTATAATTCAATACACTAGACACACGTTTCATCTACATAAGACTCATCAATGATAGGAGGCTTATTATTCAATACACTAAACACACATTTCATCTACATAAGATCAATGATAGAAGGCTTATTATTCAATACACTAAACACACATTTCATCTACATAAGACTCGTCAATGATAGGAGGCTTATTATTCAATACACTAAACACACATTTCATCTACATAAGACTCATCAATGATAGGAGGCTTATAATTCAATACACTAAACACACATTTCATCTACATAAGACTCATCAATGATAGGAGGCTTATAATTCAATACACTAAACACACATTTCATCTACATAAGACTCATCAATGATAGGAGGCTTATTATTCAATACACTAAACACACATTTCATCTACATAAGACTCATCAATGATAGGAGGCTTACTATTCAATACACTAGACACACGTTTCATCTACATAAGATCAATGATAGGAGGCTTATAATTCAATACACTAAACACACGTTTCATCTACATAAGACTCATCAATGATAGGAGGCTTATTATTCAATACACTAAACACACATTTCATCTACATAAGATCAATGATAGGAGGCTTATAA